CCCAGAGTCGGCCCGCTGGCTATTGGCCAATGGCAGAATAGAGGAAGCCAAGAAATACCTGGTGCAGTGTGCGAAGGTGAACGGGAAGAACGAGTACACCTCCAAACTAGACTCTGAGGTACTCCTGAGAAACTCGCTGTAACAGCATCTTTGAACCTGGAGCGACTTTGTTTCAGACTGGGGTTCAACCGTGTTTCCTGTTTGTTTCAGACTCTGGCCAAGGTGACCGTGTCCGAGGTGGCCGAGAAGAACCACTCCTACCTGGACCTGGTGAAAACACCTCAGCTCAGGAAGATCACACTCTGCTCTGGATTGTTCTGGTACTGAGTCTGACCTTCAGACCTGATAAGTACTGCCTGAAACAGACCGATCCCAGTCCAGAGTTCATTGTGTCTTTATTGATAAACTACGATCAGATGTTCTTGGATACCGGCGCAGGTTTTCCATTAGTTACCTCGCTGACATGTTTCGATGTGCTGACAGCAGTCTTACACAACCGTCACGTGACACTCTGAGGCTCGCGTCATAAAACAGCTGATGTTTCCGAAGGCGTGACCTTTCCGTCAGTTTGACAGATCGGTCACGCCTTCAGCTGCCCGCTCGCCCCCGGCAATACGGCACTTAAGGTGTGGGAGAGCAAATACGCCCCTCATCCCAGGTGACGGTCTTCGCTTCTGGATTGCTGCCATTCTCTCCCTGATCCAACGCTGATGCAATGGAAATCTGGAAGTGAGGCCCGAGGACAGGACAACACAACACAACACAACACAACACAACACAACACAATACAACACAATACAACACAAAACAACACAACACAATACAACACAACACAATACAAAACAACACAACACAATACAATACAATACAACACAACACAACACAATACAACACAATACAAAACAACACAACACAATACAACACGACATAAAACAACACAGCACAATACAACACAACACAATACAACACAACACAATACAACACAACACAATACAATACAACACAACACAACACAACACAACACAACACAACACAACACAACACAACACAACACAACACAACACAATACAATACAACACAACACAACACAATACAACACAATACAACACAACACAATACAAAACAACACAACACAATACAACACGACATAAAACAACACAACACAATACAACACAACACAATACAACACAACACAATACAACACAACACAATACAATACAACACAACACAACACAAAACAACACAACACAATACAACACAACACAATACAACACAACACAACACAACACAACACAATACAACACAACACAACACAATACAATACAACACAATACAACACAATGCAACACAACACAATACAATACAATACAACACAACACAATACAATACAACACAACACAACACAACACAATACAACACAACACAACACAATACAACACAACACAATACAACACAATACAACACAATACAACACAACACAATACAATACAACACAACACAACACAACACAACACAATACAACACAACACAATACAATACAACACAATACAACACAATGCAACACAACACAATACAATACAATACAACACAACACAATACAATACAACACAACACAACACAACACAATACAACACAACACAACACAATACAACACAACACAATACAACACAATACAACACAATACAACACAACACAATACAATACAACACAACACAATACAACACAACACAACACAACACAACACAATACAACACAACACAATACAACACAATACAACACAACACAATACAACACAACACAACACAATACAACACAATACAACACAACACAACACAACACAATACAACACAACACAACACAATACAACACGACACAAAACAACACAGTACAACACAATACAACACGACACAACACAACACAATACAACACAATACAACACGACACAAAACAACACAACACAACACAATACAACACAATACAACACAACACAACACAACACAATACAACACAACACAACACAACACAATACAACACGACACAAAACAACACAATACAACACAACACAACACAACACAATACAACACGACACAAAACAACACAATACAACACAATACAATACAACACAAAACAACACAATACAACACAATACAACACGACACAAAACAACACAATACAACACAATACAACACAATACAACACAACACAACACAACACAATACAACACAACACAACACAACACAATACAACACGACACAAAACAACACAATACAACACAACACAATACAACACAATACAGCACAACACAATACAACACAGGACAACACAACACAAAACAACACAACACAACACAACACAACACAATACAACACGACACAGGACAACACAATACAACATGGCGTGTTGTATTGTGTCGTGTCCTGTTGTGTTGTGTTGTATTATGTTGTGTTGTCTTGTGTTGTGTCGTGTTGTATTGTGTTGTGTTGTATTGTGTTATATTGTGTTGTGTTGTGTTGTGTTGTGTTGTTTTGTGTTGTGTTGTGTTGTGTTGTTTTGTGTTGTGTTGTGTTGTATTGTGTCGTGTCCTGTTGTGTTATATTGTGTTGTGTTGTGTTGTGTTGTGTTGTTTTGTGTCGTGTTGTGTTGTGTTGTATTGTGTTGTGTTGTGTTGTATTGTGTCGTGTCCTGTTGTGTTGTATTGTGTTGTGTTGTGTTGTGTTGTGTTGTGTTGTGTTGTATTGTGTTGTTTTGTGTTGTGTTGTGTTGTATTGTGTCGTGTCCTGTTGTGTTGTATTGTGTTGTATTGTGTTGTGTTGTATTGTGTTATATTGTGTTGTGTTGTGTTGTGTTGTGTTGTGTTGTGTTGTGTGTCCTCCCTGATCCAGCGCTGATTTAATGGAAATCTGGAAGCGGCCCGAGGACCATCAACCAGGATGAGGGGCATTTATGCTCTCCCACACCTGGAGCGCCATATTGCAGAGGGCGAGCGGGCAGCTGAAGGCGTGACCGATCTGTCAAACTGATGGAAAGGTCACGCCTTCGGAAACATCAGCTGTTTTAAGACGCGTCACATGACCGTCACGTGACACTCTGAGGAAGACGAGGTAAACCTGTGTCTGAAAAAAGAACATCTGATCGTCATACAGCAGCTCCAAAGTTCTGTGGGGCAGAAGTTTGGTTCTACGGTTTTGGACCCTGACTAAAGGATCTTAAACGCACTGTCAGAAGTGCGTAAATTAAATCTGTGTTTGAGAGGATGGATGGAGTTCCTTGTGTTCTCCTGGTAAATCTGGTAAATCACTCTCACCCTTAAAGTTCCCCTGTAGCCGGTACCGCCTGTTTCACTCCGGGTTTGGGTTTGTTCCTCTGGGTCAGTCAGACCCTGAAGTTTGTAGACATGAGTCTGCTGTGGGGGATGTGGTCTCAGCGGTGGGTTTTCGTACTTCCAGGTTTGCTGTTGCCTTCCTCTACTACGGGATCAGTTTCCGGATCTCAGGATTTGGCGTCAGCATCTACCTCACACAGTTCATCTACGGCGCCATCGAAGCTCCGGCTAAAATCTTCACCTTCTTCATCCTGAACTGGATCGGTCGGAGGAACGGCCAGGCGTGGTTTCTGATCACGACCGGAGCGTTGATCGGGATCAACACCGCCATCCCTTTTGGTGACATCATGTCCTGTCTGCTTTCACAGAATGAACGTTTGAATTTCAGTTGACATTTCCAGACGCTCACACACGCTCGCCGTGTCCTTTCTCAGAGTACGCCATGGTTAGAATGTGCATCGCCGTTGTGTCCAAGGGGTTCTCAGAGGCGGCGTTCACCACAGCGTTTCTCTACACGGCTGAACTCTTCCCGACCGTCCTGAGGTAAGAACCAGAACTCAGTGATCCACTGATGATCTCCATTAGAACACTGTTAGCGGTCTGAGTCCGAAGAGACAAAGACCTTCAGAAGAACACGAGGTCCTCCACATCATGACCGACGTTTCTTCAACATGACCTTTTTCTACAGGATAGACGTTTATCATCTAGATTCAACCACTGAAACAGGTTTTTAAAAACCTGTGGAGACCTGTAGACCTTAGTGGACCCAGCAGACCAGGTTCTGTAGACCTTAGTGGACCCAGCAGACCAGGTTCTGTAGACCTTAGTGGACCCAGCAGACCAGGTTCTTTAGACCTTAGTGGACCCAGCAGACCAGGTTCTGTAGACCTTAGTGGACCCAGCAGACCAGATTCTGTAGACCTTAGTGGACCCAGCAGACCAGGTTCTGTAGACCTTAGTGGACCCAGCAGACCAGGTTCTGTAGACCTTAGTGGACCCAGCAGACCAGGTTCTGTAGACCTTAGTGGACCCAGCAGACCAGATTCTGTAGACCTTAGTGGACCCAGCAGACCAGGTTCTTTAGACCTTAGTGGACCCAGCAGACCAGGTTCTGTAGACCTGAGTGGACCCAGCAGACCAGGTTCTGTAGACCTTAGTGGACCCAGCAGACCAGGTTCTGTAGACCTTAGTGGACCCAGCAGACCAGATTCTTTAGACCTTAGTGGACCCAGCAGACCAGGTTCTGTAGACCTTAGTGGACCCAGCAGACCAGATTCTTTAGACCTTAGTGGACCCAGCAGACCAGGTTCTGTAGACCTTAGTGGACCCAGCAGACCAGGTTCTTTAGACCTTAGTGGACCCAGCAGACCAGGTTCTGTAGACCTTAGTGGACCCAGCAGACCAGGTTCTGTAGACCTTAGTGGACCCAGCAGACCAGGTTCTGTAGACCTTAGTGGACCCAGCAGACCAGATTCTTTAGACCTTAGTGGACCCAGCAGACCAGGTTCTGTAGACCTTAGTGGACCCAGCAGACCAGGTTCTTTAGACCTTAGTGGACCCAGCAGACCAGGTTCTTTAGACCTTAGTGGACCCAGCAGACCAGGTTCTGTAGACCTTAGTGGACCCAGCAGACCAGGTTCTGTAGACCTTAGTGGACCCAGAAGACCAGGTTCTTTAGACCTTAGTGGACCCAGCAGACCAGGTTCTGGAGTCTGACACTCAAATCTTGTCCCTGGTCGAGGATTTCAGCTGCTCCACAGTTCAGGGTCTTCTTGGTCCTGTTTTTGGGGTCCTGATGGTCCAAATGTATCTAATGGGGGACGAGTCAGGACCGCATCAGTCCAGGTTCTCAGCAGGACTCTTCTCCTACAGAACCATGCTGTTGTCAGAAGTGGTTCTGGATCATATGAAGGTCTTCCCTGAACGCAGATGTTAGTCCTGAACCTCCTTCTGACCTGTTTGGTTGTTCCTCGATTCCCCCCAACACACACACACACACACACACACACACACACACACACACACACACACACACACACACACACACACAGACACACACAGACACACACACACAGACACACACACACACACACAGACACACACAGACACACACACACACACACACACACACACACACACACACACACACAGACACACACACACACACACACACACACACACACACACACACACACACACACACACACACACACACACACACACACACACACACACACACACACACACACACACACACACACACACACACACACACACACACACACACACACACACACACACACACACACACACACACACACACACACACACACACACACACACACACACACACACACACACACACACACACACACACACACACACACAGACACACAGACACACACACACACACAGACACACACACACACACACACACACACAGACACACACACACACACACACACACAGTTTTCTGTTGTTGGACCTTTTAAATGTAGAAATCGGAGAAACTTCGACCTCCAGTCCGAAGATGAACTTCGTTTAGTGATTTCAAAAACTCAAATACCGAAGCCGACCTTTAAACTCTTACATCAGCAACGATGGTGGAAACCAGATCGTCTGTGGGCCAAATCAGTGGTTCTCTGGACCCTGATCACAGTTCTGGTTTCCTGGTCTCGGAGGACGGAGGACTGAAGCTGCTGTCTGTGTTGTTGGACAGGCAGTGTGGGATCGGGTACACTTCCTGTCTGTGTCGGATCGGGAGCTCGCTCGCCCCCCTCGTCATGCTGCTGGAGGACGTCTGGCTCCTTCTGCCGCCGCTGATCTTCGCTGCCACAGGGATCGTCAGCGGGAGTCTGGTCTTCATGCTCCCCGAGACGCTCAACGTCCGTCTGCCCGAAAACATCTTTGACGTGGAGGAGGGAAGGTGAGGTTTGTCTTTGGAGACACTTTGTCTTCAAACGTCGAAAACATCTCAAAAACATCGTCGGAACAGGTGACGGAGATGAGTTAACGTAGTTTCATTCGTCCAGTTTCAGAAGGACGAACATTTTAACCTTCCTGTTCATTTTAACCTCCATCCAGACGACTTTGTCCCCAAACAGACATGCAGATAAATGTTCATAAAATCATCATTTTTTTAACTTTTTTCTTTTTTCGACTCAAATCTCTGAAACACCTTCAGCTCTGACCATTAAAACAGTCATGAATAGAAAATTTGATGTTTTTCCCTCTTTATTCCAGTTTCTGTTCATCATGTCATATTTATTGATAAAGTCTGTCGAAGCAGAAAAACTCGACATTTTCACCTCCTCTTCTCGAACCTCGTCCTCGACCAAATCAAATACGATCAAATTCATGTGTTCATAATAAATTAATTTAATATATAAACATATAAAATCAGCAGATCTCTGTAAGATAGAATCATTTCTGAGTGTTTATCCTCCTCTAACTAAAATCTGACCCTGATTACTCTGATATAAAAATAACTGCTGATTTGAGATGTGATATCTTCTCCCCTGATGATCTGAAGGACCTGTTCATCCTCATGCATGTCCATCCACCTGCTCTGAACTGAGGACAAAGTAGAAACTGTCCAAATGTCCCCCTCTCTTTGTCCCACACTGCAGAACTTGGACGTCAGATTCTCGACTGTAAAAACTCCCATCATGCCCGGTTCTAAACATGGATGCAGATTCTCACCCGTGCACACACGCAGGAGCACACAGACTTCTCCTTCCACACATATCCCACTCTGAGACATCCAGATCTAGTGTCATGTAAAGTTTCCTTCATGTCTGATGATGTTTAGTGGATGAATCTTCAGACTCTCTCAGTCCATGAATGAAGACTTGCGTGCTCAGCGGCTCTGAAGGGGTTAAAATGATGTGCGGCTCAGTCTGTCGTCTCACTAAGTCAGATTTAGAGTCCTGCTGATCGACTGACTGCAGAGAAAAGGTTTAATATGTTGTTATGGAGCCGTAAACACACGCTCAAAGAACCTGTTTTTAATGGAAGTCTATTGGCCGACAGAGGAGGGTGGGCGGAGCTAAAATGACGGAGAACTACAGGAGACACTGAGTTTTAATTTAATATGAATAAAAATAAGAACTCTGAGAAAATTAGAGTTTCTGATCTTTAAAACTGTCAGCTCAGAGTAAAGAGGAGGAACGGAGGTGTTAACGTGGATTTGGTAGTCCAGTTTCAGGGGAACCTTGTTTTGATGGTTTTAGTCGTCCGGTTTCAGTCCGACTTTCTGAAGAGTATGAAAATGTTTAGACGCTCTGTGGTTTAATGAGTTAAATATTGTTCTCCCTGTCTAACAGCTGGACATGATTCAATAAAATAGAAACCAATAAATTACTGCTGTAATGGAAGAGACTAAAAAATGATATTAAAGATGAACTTGAATGTTGTGACTCTCTAAAACGATCATAAAAACTTTGATTAAAAGAGAAACAGTCAGTAAACAGTCTTCCTCTTTAATTCTGTGTGAAGCACGGATCCTTCCCGTCTGGTTGTTTTAAACACCGCTGATTATTCATGAGTTATTCTCTTTTATTGAATCAATGAGGAGACGATAACTTTAACTCCACTTCCTCAGAAATAACTCGTAATAACTGTCGCTCTGATGGTTCGTTATGATCCTGAACTAAAGTCTTTAGTTTTAGTTTCAATACTGAACTCTTTGTGGAAAAGATTAAATTTTATCGGACATTTTTTTATTGCAGGCGGAAATTTCTAATCAACGCTTAAGAACAAATCGTCTTTGAAAAAAAAAAAGAAAAATGATCAAAACGCGTCGAGACGGTGGAAATGAAGTCAAAACATGTTTTTACTGTTTTTCAAAGTTTGGACAAGTTGACTCTAAATATTCGACGACGATAAAAGAAAAAATGAAAATTTCTTTCTTTGTTTTTCTTTCAGGTGAAGTGACGACCTCTCAGATTACATCGAGTCTTTTTTTCTGTTTTTTCTTTTTAAATAGTAAATTGATTTTTAACTTAGATTTGTGTGATTAATGAAAAATAATTAACAAAAATTTTAAAAATATTTACAAATAATTTAAATATTTTTAATTATTGTTATTTTTTATTATGAATAATAATTGTTTTGATGAATAAGCAAAAACAATAATTCCTCAAATTTTGTTTTGTTTTATTTTTTATTTTTTTAGGGGGAAAATATTAAATCATTTTTTTTAAAGGTTCACCTGGTTTCCCTTTAATTCTTTTGTGTTGTTATTTTTTATTTTATATATATGTTTTTATTGTTTCTTCCTCTTTTATAATCGACTTCTTTGACTGTGTTTGTGTTCAGACACCGACAGTGTGACGCAGACGGCGACGCAAAGATCGAGTTGATGAAGCTAAACTCCAAAGAGACGACAGACGCGCAGGACGACTGACGAGCTGCAGGACGATTGGTCGAGTTTTTTCCAGGAGGCGGAACAGAGGAGTGTAGCTGCTGTCTGCTGTGGAAGGATCGGTGCTTCTTGATTTTGGTTCGGACGTCAAAATTCGTGTCAGATAAGCAGCGTGTTGTGTGCAGAGCTGACCTTCAGTAGAGGTTGTCCTGTTAGTGTTTTCAGTCCTCAGTCAAGACGAGCTGATGATGATGATGATGATGATGATGATGATGATGATACTCGGCTGTCAATCAAACGACGGTGAGTTTCAGGTGCCACACGGCCGTGTCTCAGCTCACCACCTGTTCCACAACCCCTGACTTCAAATTCAGACGAAGCAATAAAAGGTTTCCACTTTTCTGTCTGTGGTCGTCGTTTATCCCAGAGTTCAGCTCACAGTGTCCTCATGTCTCCAAGGAAACAGTCAGTGAGGGAAACAGTCAGTAAGCAGAGATTAAAGTTGCACAGAGTATTGATCATCACTGTCAGCAATAAAAAACTGCAGTTAATCATAGAGTCGAACATCCTAGATCAGAAATATTGAAGATCATTTTTTCCTAAAATCCGGTTTCAGTCTGTTTGTCTGAGTTTGTCTGTTTGTATAAAAACGAATATTTTCTGTTGTTTCTGTTTCTTTCTGTTCGTTTCGATCGTCTGATCAGTTTGAAAAGAATCGATTTCCTCTGAAACGTTAAACTTCAGGAGCTCCTCAGACTTTCTACAGAATCAAACCTTAAATATTGACGATTTCACAGTCAGAGTCGGAATATAAACACGAACATTTCATCTTTATTAGTTTGAATATTTGAACACAGAGACTCAGATTATCAATAAACTCAAATACAGACGTGTTAAAAACTTCATTATCTCTGTTTCACAAACATTCATTCACTCACTCACTCACTCACTCACTCATTCACTCACTCACTCACTCACTCGTTCATTCATTCATTCACTCACTCACTCACTCACTCACTCACTCACTCACTCATTCATTCACTCACTCATTCACTCACTCACTCACTCACTCGTTCATTCATTCATTCACTCACTCATTCACTCACTCACTCACTCATTCACTCATTCATTCATTCACTCACTCACTCACTCACTCACTCACTCACTCACTCATTTATTCACTCACTCATTCACTCACTCACTCACTCACTCATTCACTCACTCACTCACTCACTCACTCATTCACTCACTCACTCACTCACTCATTCACTCACTCATTCATTCACTCACTCACTCACTCACTCACTCACTCACTCATTCATTCACTCTCTCACTTACTCACTCACTCACTCACTCACTCACTCATTCACTCATTCATTCATTCACTCTCTCACTTACTCACTCACTCACTCACTCATTCACTCACTCACTCACTCACTCATTCACTCACTCACTCACTCATTCACTCATTCATTCATTCACTCACTCATTCACTCACTCACTCACTCACTCACTCGTTCATTCATTCATTCACTCACTCATTCACTCATTCACTCACTCACTCACTCACTCACTCACTCATTCACTCATTCATTCATTCACTCACTCACTCACTCACTCACTCACTCACTCATTCACTCACTCACTCACTCACTCATTCACTCACTCACTCACTCACTCATTCATTCACTCACTCACTCACTCACTCACTCATTCATTCATTCACTCTCTCACTTTAACTCACTCACTCACTCACTCACTCACTCATTCATTCATTCACTCTCTCACTCACTCACTCACTCACTCACTCACTCACTCATTCACTCACTCACTCACTCACTCACTCACTCACTCACTCACTCACTCATTCAAACCCTCTCAGTGTCTTCAATGATCTCTCTGCCTGTTTTTACTTTGATTGTCCACTCGGTGGCGCAGTAGAACAAATGAAGCTTCATCTCACACACGAACACCTCAAACAGCTGATCACTTATCGATCAGATACTACAGAGGTGATTGATAAGTGATCAGCTGATACCGTAATCACAGGTGGGCGTGGCTTCACGACTTCTCTCCTAAAACAAAAGTCCTCTTTCACGTCCTCCTCCTAAACTGTGAAATGAAATCCTGGTTGTCATGGAGATGAATATATCTGACTGTGATTGGTTGGTTGGTGTTAAGGCCCCGCCTCCTCCGTCGCTGTTTTTCCTTTTTTTTCCCTTTAATGTCTAAAATCGAACAGATGAAAATAAAAATTTTATTTTTAAAATTTTTTTCCTTTTAATTTTAGAAAGAAAAACATGAAATTAGGAGAAAAACGTGTTTTAAATGTTTGGAGTTTCTAGATTTTTCCCTGAATGTAAATCGATCAAAAACTCTTCGGATTAATCGATACTTTTGCTTTTTTGTGGATTTCTTTGAGCTGAATTTATATTTTTTATTTACATATTTTATTGTTTTGAACAAAGTTTTTTTTATTTCCTTCAATGAGACGAAGAGTAAAAACTGATCAGGCACTTGATCGGACACCCTGAGGGGTCCGGACCGGGACTCTCAGGACCCCTCAGGACACCATGGTTCGAGCTGCAGGTTTGTGAAGGTGAGGAGATCTCAGCTGATTTAAGGACTTTTATTCCACATATGAGACTGTTAGAGGGTTCAAAGATTAAAGGTTTAGTCCGGAATTAAATCTGAGAGATTAGAGTCTGAGAGCGATCGGCCCGTTAGCAGGAGAGTTAGCAGGAGAGTTAGCAGGAGAGTTAGCAGGAGAGTTAGCACTGCAGCTGGAATAACGCCGATTATACAATCCATAAACTCCGATTATCTGATCTATAATCTCTAAACTCGGTTTAACCGTAAAACGGTGACCTCGTGTTTGTTAAAGTCCCGATCATCTGTTTTCTGTTGTTGAATGTTCCGATCGACGGTGTCGGATAATCGATAATGGGGATCAAAGCGGATTTTCCTGACTATGAATCAATTAATCGATGAAGTTCTTTTGGGTTTGAAATGAGAGTTCTGGTTCTGACTGAGATCTTTAAGTGGATCGGTTCTGTTCAGGTGGATCTGCTGCTGGACTCTCAAAAACCGGGTTGAAGTCAGATTATCAAACCTTCAGATTATCAAACCTTCAGATTATCAAACCTTCAGATTATGAAGAGAAAGACTGGAGGAGAAGAATCTTTGGGGGACAGACAGAAGAACCTTAAAACTAAAAACTCTGTCATGGATTATAAAGAACCAGAACTGAACCAGAACCAGAACTTTGTAAGGATGAAATGAGGCGAAAACATCAGAAGAAGAAGATGAGGAGGAAGAGTGAAATATGGAGATGAAAATATTAAAATAATTAATAAAAAGATAAAACTGTAAAAAAAAAAATCTTGACGTCTGTTGGATCTCCTGACCTGAGCGTGTTCAATCAATCAATAAATGATCAATCCCCCCCGTATTCTGTGAAGTTCAGAATTTAACAGTTTTATTTGTTTTTTTAAAGGTGGTGTTTTTTTTAAATCTTAGACCTGTTTTTGTTTTAATCTGAGATTATTTTAAATGTTTTTATTGATGAATCTTTGATCACGTTAATGATGTTTGAGTTTTAATCTGATCATTTAATCTGACCCCGCCCCCCCTTCAGAGTCATGGGCCTGACAGAGTTCTGGCGGAGCTATAAGGTTCTGATTGTGATGGGAACAGGTCTGGGTCTGATCCACTTGGGCTGGTACCACCTAAAGACAAACCCACTACTGAGGAAAACCAGGACGGATTATAATCCGGAGGAACCGGGGATCGTCGCCTTCGTTTCAGCGCCAAACGCCACCGCCAAGAGCAAGTAACACCGAGGCTGAGGTGAGACGGAGAGGAGGCGAAACTCCTCCATGAGGAGAGAGAGAGGGGGAGAGGGAGAGAGAGAGAGAGAGAGAGAGAGAGAGAGAGAGAGAGAGAGAGAGAGAGAGAGAGAGAGAGAGAGAGAGAGAGAGAGAGAGAGAGAGAGAGAGAGAGAGAGAGAGAGAGAGAGAGAGAGAGAGAGAGAGAGAGAGAGAGAGAGAGAGAGAGGGAGAGAGAGAGAGAGAGGGAGAGAGAGAGAGAGAGAGAGAGAGAGAGAGAGAGAGAGAGAGAGAGAGAGAGAGGGAGGGGGAGAGAGGGAGGGAGAGAGAGAGAGAGAGAGGGAGGGAGAGAGAGGGAGAGAGAGAGAGAGAGAGAGAGAGAGAGAGAGAGGAAGAGAGAGAGAGGAAGAGAGAGAGAGAGAGAGAGAGGAAGAGAGAGAGAGAGAGAGGGAGGGAGAGAGAGAGAGAGAGAGAGAGAGAGAGAGAGAGAGAGAGAGAGAGAGAGAGAGAGAGAGAGAGAGAGAGAGAGAGAGAGAGAGAGAGAGAGAGAGAGAGAGAGGGGGAGGGAGAGAGAGAGAGGGAGGGGGAGGGAGAGAGAGAGAGGGAGGGGGAGAGAGAGAGAGAGAGAGAGAGAGAGAGAGAGAGAGAGAGAGAGAGAGAGAGAGAGAGAGAGAGAGAGAGAGAGAGAGAGAGAGAGAGAGAGAGAGAGAGAGAGGGGAGGGGGAGAGAGAGAGAGAGAGAGAGAGAGAGAGAGAGAGAGAGAGAGAGAGAGAGAGAGAGAGAGAGAGAGAGAGAGAGAGAGAGAGAGAGAGAGAGAGAGAGAGAGAGAGAGAGAGAGAGAGAGAGAGAGAGAGAGAGAGAGAGAGAGAGAGAGAGAGAGAGAGAGAGAGAGAGAGAGAGAGAGAGAGGGAGGGAGAGAGAGAGAGAGAGAGAGAGAGAGAGAGAGAGAGAGAGAGAGAGAGAGAGAGAGAGAGAGAGAGAGAGAGAGGGAGAGAGAGAGAGTTTTCCTAAATTTCACTCAGCATCACCACAAACAGTTTTTCTCTCTGTCCACTAGATGGAGCTCAAAGACAGTTTTTTATACTAGGTCGAATCTGAACGCTTCAAATGTTTCTCTATAATCTCATAATTTGATCTGATAATTTCTCTATAATCTCATAATCTGATCATTTCTCTATAATCTCATAATCTGATCATTTCTCTATAATCTCATAATCTGATCATTTCTCTATAATCTCATAATCTGATCATTTCTCTATAATCTCATAATCTGATCATTTCTCTATAATCTCATGTCTGTTTTTCTGACGCCCTGAAGTTTGTCGGTTTTATTTCTCCGATTTTTCTCATCTCCTCTCTTTCTCAATCCCGTCTGTTCGTCTGTTCAGGTCTTGGGATGAAGTCTCAGAGCTGGATCAGGAGGAACTGGTTGTGGGCGGCGGGCGGAGCTTTCCTCAGCATCCACGCCGCCACCTGGCTGATGCAGAGGGCGATGAGGAGCTCGGTGCGCTCGGAGGCGGCGCTGAGACAGAAAAGTGCCGAGGACAGAGCGGACTGATGGAGTCTGTCCTGGATCAGGTTTCCCTGTGAGACCACCTCGGACCCTCAGATTACAGTCTGATAGAATAATCCGATTCAATCCCAGATTTGAAGATTTGTTCGGTTTGTTCTTGTTTTTTTCTGCTCTGATGACATGAAGGCGGATCGATGAGATCAGTGACTCGTTTCTAAACCCGCCGTTCACCTTTTCACTGTAAACTCTGATTATAATAAACATAAAAATCAACGTCATTATAATTAAACAGGTTCGTCTCTGTGTTTGAAGGTTCATTTAAAGGGTTAATCTGTAAATTTTATTTATGAACTCAGCAGGACAAAGAAAAAAAAAAACCTGAAAGTTTAATGTTTGCTGTCAGTTTTCTTCTTAATTATAATGTCACCATTCTTCTAGTTTTAATTATATGAAACAATAACAATAATAATAATGATTATTTATGATTATTATTATTATTACTTTGAGATTTGTTTTCAAATGTAAAGTACAAATAAAATCTATTATCATTAATGATAAAAATTATAATAATTATCATTAATGGTAATTATTATGATGATAATTATAATAATTATTATCATTAATGATAATAATTATTATATAATAATTATTATCATTAATGATAATAATTATTATGATAATAATTATTATCATTAATGATAATGATGGAGAGGAGCAAACAAAAACTGTTTAATTGAGGAAAAAAGGGGAGAGAGTCTATCAATTTTTAACTATAAAGATTTTCTGAATTTTTAATTAAAATCAAACTTTTTTTTTTTTTCCTGTAAAATATATTTTTTTTCAGTTTCAGTTTTTTGTGTCGGATGAAAGATTTTACCATTTGTTTTTTTTAACTGTATGTTTTTATTCTGTTTAAAATATTTTACCGATAAAAAATTTCGAGGCTTCATGAAAAAATTTTGATGCAGTTGACCTTCAGGGCCACCGTACGTCAGGGACGTCAAACGTCAAAACACCGATGAGCCGAGACACAAAATAAAAATAAATCCAAAATTAAAAAATAATAATTTATTAAAGATTTCAACAAGATCGGCTTCAAAAACTCGGCAAACCCGCGAGTCCGATTAAATCGCAGAAACAGGAAGTTCTTAAAACTCGAGGCCGTTAAGTTAAAACTCAACGAAGAAGAAACTATTTACACGTCTGAACGGAAACACGCCAAATTCACAGAAGGAGGAGGAGGAGCGTCCAGGAGGAGGAGGAGGAGCGTTGAGAGGAGGAGCCTCCTTGTGGAGGAGCTCAGGAAAAACTCAAATCCAGCACGGATAAAAAACTGTCATGGCGTTCAGTGTTTGGGCGTGCGGCGATCATACGCCGCACTCTGTCCTGATGGCGCTCTGCGGACGTAGCCGCCTGTTGTCCTGTTTGTAATTCCAGTGGGCGGGTTTATGGAGAGGGGGGCGTTCCTCCCAGTCCACCAGCGAGTATGCTGGCGGCGGCGCCACTGGAACCACCTTCTGCCACCTTTGATCTGATTGGCTCCCGGCATCTACCTTCCTGATCCTTGCGTTGATGGCGTTTTTGTCCTCAAAGAGGCGGAGCTGCTGCTGGTTGTAGTTTGGCGGTGGTTTCTCGATGGGGTTCTTTATGTGTCTGAGCCGCTCACGGGCGGCGCCGATGCTGTTCTGTAGGGCGTTGTTGTCCTCAGCGGCAGGGGCCGGAGGCGAGGACGGCGTGGTCTGCGTGCTGACTCCGGTGTGGGTGCTCTGTTTCCTCCGCCTCCTCATGCACAAAAGAAACAGAGACACGGGCGCCAACGCCAACACGAAGACCGCCATGGAGACCAGGAGGGGGACGAGGCGGTCTACAGGACAGAGAGAGGGCGGAGTTGGTGAAAAACGCCAAACCGCCAACAAGAGGAGCCGACACCTCCGCAGGTAGATCAACATAAAGTAGAAGCTGTTGTCCAATCAGATTATGGAAAAGGGGGCGGGGTTTACCGTGGACTTGGTGGTGTTGCCGTCTCTGCACACGGACCTCGGCGATGGCGCCAATGATGGAGCTGTTGGCGCTCTTTTTGCTGACCAGATCCATGATCCGGTCCGTGATTTCACTGACGAAGACCAGACCCCCTTCCTGGACTCTGGTGGACTGAAACAGAAAAACGAAGTCCATGAGGGCCTTTAGTGGACCGGGTCTGAACCTGAACCAGAACCATCAGAAAAACTTCAGGAAGTTTAACGGTTTTTAAACTGAGTCTGAAGTTTTTAAAATAATTTAAAAAGATTAAAAATCAAATTTAAAAAAATTCAAAAGTTGTTTTAAGACGAAAAAAAAAAAAAAGAGTTAAAATGATTTTTTATTAAAGTGACGACATTTAAAAAAAACAAACAAAAACAAAAAAAAAAAAGTTTGATCGTGGACTCACGAGGATCAGGTGGATCTGGTTCTGGGCGCTGACAGACGGCTCACAGAACATGGAGGACTCTGAAGACCGGTTCCTGGTGTCGTAGAGACCACTGAGTTCATGACAGACCTGGTCCACGGTCAGACCCTGAAACCCAGAAGAAGAAAACCAGATCAGGAACTACAGAAGTCCACTGAGACCATATTCAGGGTCTATTAAGACCTGAGAGACCGAGTCCTGCTGGAGGACCGAGGAACTACAAGAGACCTCAGACCGAGTCTTTGGGGCCCCTGTCAAACCCGCCCCCCACAGACTGACCTGCTCCATGGCGTCCTTCTTAAAGGTAAAGGTGATGTTAGCGCAGCTGCTTCCTGGGTCACACCTGTTTGTGGGCGGGGCCTGGTGGGCGGGGCTCCAGCACTGGGGGGGGCAGGGCTTAACGAAGCAAGACTCGTCAGTGACGGGGACACAGGTCTGACCTGAGGGACACTGCGGGCCCCGAGTCCGACTGTGGAGGCTGCAGGGTCTAGGTCCACACCGGAGCTGGGGGGGGGGGGCAGACAAACGTTTGAACTTTTCCACAGTTAGCTTAGCATTTAGCATCCTCATTCAGGTGAACACACAGCAGGTGTACCTGTGAACAGCTGATGGCTCCGCCCTCACAGGTACAGGTGTTACAGTCTTCAGCCCACCTGGTTCCGTCCAAGACGACCCGGCCCCCCCGCACACAGGACCCCCCCGACCCTGCGAACACCAGGGATTCAAAGGTCAAAGGTTATATCTGTTTACATGCTTCTGTACGGAGGCCCTAAAGGTCCATAAACATCAAAATTATTTCATGAAACATGAAAAACTTTAAACTTTTGTGTTTTTTAATAGTTTTGTTTTATTTATTGTTCAAATTTTTTTTAATTTTTTTAATTTTTTATATTTTTATTTATTGTTCAAATGTTATTTTTCATGTTACCCTTAATTTGTAATAATTCCTTTTATTATGTAAACCTTGTACAGATGTAAATAAAAAACATGTTCGTATCTTTTTAAACTCAAAGGTTTTTTTTTGTATCTGCTGCTGTAAATTTTTGATTACAGGAACATCTTCTTTTGTATTTTAATGTTTTTATTTTAAAAAATTGAATCGGGTTAAATAAATGTTTGAGAATTGTTTGTAAATATTTTTGCACTTTTCTAAAATAACTTGCAAGTATTTTAAAAACACTTCAGTCTTTTTTTAATGACAGAAATATTTTATCAGAATTTAGTCTCTAAAAATTTTCTCTGTTTCACGTGTTTTATGACTTTTTTTAACATTAAGCAAAATGTTTGTGCGGTTGTGTGGGTCCATTCTGGGCCACCGTACTTTTAAAAATGGTCTTCTTCTGTTTTTACCTCGTTGGCAGCGAGCGCCGCTCGTCCCTGGAGGACAGACGCAGCGATAACCGTGGATTTCATCCACACAGGTGGCGCCGAAGCCGCAGGGCGACGAGTCGCACTCGTTTACGTCTGAAAAAAGAAGAAAAAAGAACGATTGTCTTTTTTTTTTAACGTCCAGAAACTGAAGAAAACTGTGAAGGTGAACGAGTGAACGGGTGAACGGGTGAACAGACGGAGGAGGAACCTTCGCACGGCGTGGAGCGGCAGTGGTCCTTTAAACTGGAGCAGTTTCGTCCCTCGTAGTCCTCAGGACATTTACAGATGTAGTTGGACGCCATGTTGAAACACTGGCCGCCATTTTGACACGGAGCGTGGAGGCAGTAATCGATATCCAACTGAGGATAAAAACGGCGAGAAGATTCAGCTTTAAAGAGGCGGAGTAACAACAAACACCGCAAAAGTGGGCGTGTCCCGACAGAAGCTCACCTGACATCGACTCCCAGAGAAACCAGGAGGACACACGCAGTGGAAACCGTTAACTTCATCATGGCAGCTGCCGCCGTTTAAGCAGGGCTCGCCGGAACACTCGTCCACGTCTGTCTCGCAGTGCTCGCCGCCAAAACCAGGCGGACACACGCACGTGTAACCATGAACCAGGTCCTGAGAGCGAGGAGGAGGAGGAGGAGGAGGAGGAGGAGGGCACATGATCTGTTAGACTGCGTATGATTGGATAAATCTGATCTACTGTCATTGGAGGCCTCTCTCTCTCTCTCTCTCTCTCTCTCTCTCTCTCACACACAGACACACACACACACACACACACACACACACACACGGACACACACACGGACACACACTCGCCTTTACTGTCTGTAAGTTTGTGTTTAATCGGCAGACATACTGATCGTGAAAATAAATCGTACCTGACAGGTCGCTCCGTTCCGACACTGATCTTTACAGTCGTTAACGTCTACGGAGAAAAAGATCGTTAAATATTTAATTAGAGGAAAAGATTAAAAAAGAAAAAACATCATCAGATGTAAAAGATTTTAACGAACATCTGTGTCTGATTTTAACGTCTACAGAGAAAAAGGTCGTTAAATATTTAAAAAGATCCTTAAAAACCATCGTAAAAAAGATCGTAGAAACGAGTTTTTCAGCCTGAAGTTTTTAACAAATTGAAAATCTTTAAAAACGAAAAGAAAAAAACAGATGTATTATTGTGTATTAAAGTGTGTACTATTGTGTGTATTATTGTGTATCAAAGTGTGTACCATTGTGTGTATTATTGTGTGTTATTGTGCATTATTGTGTGTTGTATGTATTATTATGTGTATTATTGTGTGTATTGTGTGTATTATTGTGTGTATTATCGTGTGTATTGTGTGTATTATTGTGTATATTATTGTGTGTATTGTGTGTATTATTGTGTATTAAAGTGTGTACCATTGTGTGTATTATTGTGTGTTATTGTGCATTATTGTGTGTTGTATGTATTGTTGTGTGTATTGTTGTGTGTATTGTGTGTATTATTGTGTGTATTGTGTGTATTATAGTGTGTATTATTGTGTGTATTGTGTGTATTATTGTGTGTATTATTGTGTATTATTGTGTGTATTATTGTGTATTATTGTGTGTACCATTGTGTGTATTATTGTGTGTTATTGTGCATTATTGTGTGTTGTATGTATTGTGTGTATTGTGTGTATTATTGTGTGTATTGTGTGTATTATTATGTGTATTGTGTGTATTATTATGTGTATTGTGTGTATTATTGTGTGTATTGTGTGTATTATTGTGTGTATTGTGTACTCACTGGTGTCACAGTTCTGACCCGACCAACCAGGGAGACATTCACAGAAGTATCGTCCAATCAGGTTCCTGCAGGCGATGGCGTTCACACAGGGGGCGCTCTCACACTCGTTTGCATCTGAAAAAAACATGGAGTCTAAAAAACTGCAGTTCCCTCAGTGGCCACTAGAGGCTGTTCCAAAGTGAGTGGACCTTCAGAGACGCTGGTTCAGAACCGCCTCAGTTGGACAAACAGCCGAATCAGAATTATACGAATGTCGTAATTTCACGAAGTTCCTTTAAAATGAGAGTTTATCGGGCCACGAACCCCGACCTGAAGAAGACAAACATCGGAGCAGATCTTCAGGAGGACTCACCGATGAGACAGGTCTTCCCGGTCCACTGAGGAGGACAGGTACACCTGAACCCGTTGAGCAGGTCCTGACAGGTCCCTCCATGATGGCAGGGTTTGTCCTCACACTCGTCTACGTCTGTAAAAACAAACATTTTTTTTTTAAGGTTTTTGTTTTTCTAAAATGGAGTTTTTGTTTGTAAATTATTTCATGAGTTTTTTAAATCTTTTTAAGAAACATTTTTTCAGATTTATTGAAACATGTTTCCTGTTTCTTCTTCGGTGTTTTTGGCGTCACTCTGTCCGCTCTCACCGGGGGTCTGTTCTACGGAGCAGGTTCAACTGAGCGAGGTCGCCTTGGAGCGACCTCGCTAAACTTGGCGCTGTAGCCAGCGGTCTCGCTTAACGGTCTTACGACACTGGTCATCAACCTCATAAGTAACTTTGCTATGAGCGCGTGCACGCATGTAAGGCGGAGCCCGCCGCATCTGACCAATCGGGAACATGGACCAGTCTGGAGCGTCAGAGCAGGCCGGAGAGCGAAGGACCGCGGACTTTACAAACGAGGAGCAGGAGACGATCATGAGGAAGTATGAAGAATTCAAATCTGTCATAAACCTCAAAAACAACGCCGTCGCCGCCGCCACCGCCGCCGCAAAAGACCGGTGGGAACGCTGGCAGAAAATGGCCGACAGTCTCACTGCGGAAGTATAGAGCGCCAAAAATCTTTGATGTGGTCATCACCCTGAAACAGCGCTGTTCAACACGCGCTTTAACTACGGCGAGCAGACATGTCTGATTCATTTCCAGGATGAATTCATTCATGTGTTCATTCCTATCGTGGTCACATGTTTTGTGTGTCGGCCATATTAGCCTTTCATAAAGGTGGTCACAGACAGGAAGTGGGTCCGTGCGGTCCCTGAAAACTCTCGCTCGCCGGAGTGCTCCTCCTCGGACAAGGCGAGCACCGAGGTCTACAGGATCCTCCAAGAACGGACAAGCGACAGAGAGCTCATTGGTCAGTGGGCGGGGTTTTTATACTCCGTGAGTTCAATCTGGAACCTAACCGGCCCCGGAGCAGGTCAGCCGTTCAGCGTACGTTGCCATGGAGACTCGCCTCGCTAAGAAGTGAACCCGCGTCGTAGAACAGGAAACCCCGGTCAGTAAAAACACCTGATTCCCGTTCAGCGTTGGGACGGACTTACTGACGGAGCAGAAGGGTCCGCTCCACCCGGGCGAACACAGACACTCAAACCCCAGACCAGATTCAGCACAGCGGCCCCCGTTCAGACACGGGTGAGAGAGACAGGCGTGGTCGGCTGAGGGTGAGAGGTCAAAGGTTAATTTTCTAAAACCATGTTTCTGTGTTTCTCCATGACTCAGCTGACCCTCTCACCTGTCTGACAGGTGACCCCTGAGAACCCGTCCGGACATGAACACGCGTATTTGTCGGGTCCCGTGTTCCTGCAGGTTCCTCCGTTCAAACATGGCTGCAGCGTCGCACATGTGTTCAGATCTACACACAAACAGGAAGTGAAGTAGACAACGACAAGAGTGAAGGTGTGTGTGTGTGTGTGTGTGTGTGTGTGTGTGTGTGTGTACCTTTGTCACACAGTTGTCCTCCATAGTTCGTGTCACACAGACACTGCCACGGCTCCACACAACCGCCATGAACACAACCGGGGTGAGGGACACACTCGTCACAGAGGTCGCCACGCCAACCGTACAGACACCTGAGACACACACACATAAATACACACATGAACACACACATGAACACACACATAAACACACACATGAACACACACATAAACACATGTACATGTACACACACACACACAAACACACACATGAACACACACAAAAACACACACACACACACATGAACACACACACACATGAACACACAAATGAACACACAAATGAACACACACATGAACACACACACATAAATACACACAAACACACACATGAACACACACACAAACACACACGAACACACACACACACACACACACACACCAGCACATCCCAGGTACCTAAATATACATAAATGAGCATGTGTGTGTTCATGTGTTCATGTGTTCATGTGTTCATGTGTGTGTTCATGTGTTCATGTGTTCGTGTGTGTTGTGTGTTCATGTGTGTGTTCATGTGTTCATGTGTGTGTTCATGTGTGTGTTCATGTGTGTGTGTGTTGTGTGTGTTCATGTGTTCATGTGTGTGTTCATGTGTTCATGTGTGTGTTGTGTGTTCATGTGTTCATGTGTTCATGTGTGTGTGTGTTGTGTGTTTATGTGTTCATGTGTTCATGTGTTCATGATTGTGTTCATGTGTTCATGATTGTGTTCATGTGTGTGTGTTCATGTGTTCATGTGTGTGTTCATGTGTTCATGTGTGTGTTCATGTGTTCATGTGTGTGTGTTCATGTGTTCATGTGTGTGTTCATGTGTTCATGTGTGTGTTCATGTGTTCATGTGTTCATGTGTGTGTTGTGTGTTCATGTGTTCATGTGTGTGTTCATGTGTTCATGTGTTCATGTGTGTTTTCATGTGTTCATGTGTGTGTGTGTGTTCATGTGTTCATGTGTGTGTGTGTGTTCATGTGTTCATGTGTGTGTGTGTGTTCATGTGTTCATGTGTTCATGTGTTCATGTGTTCATGTGTTCATGTGTGTGTTCATGTGTTCATGTGTTCATGTGTTCATGTGTGTTCTCTCACCTGCACTCTCCAGGACTTTTACACGTTCCGTGTTCGGCGCTACATCCTCGTCGACAAACGGCTGCAGAGAAAAAAAACACGATCAAACTCAGAGCGTTGATCGGATTTATACGTTTTCTCGTCCTTCGTTACGTCGGAATGATCCGATTTTCACCAAACCTCGATGAAAACCCGGTCCTAACAGAAACTCCCGCTCCGTGTTTTTGACACGCTGAGGTCGAAGGTTATCGAAGGTCATCGGTTCATCAGAAGGCGGCGCTGACGCTTCATCAAACAGGAAGTGACTCTTCGATAGCGTCTGAACATCGAGGTTCCTGTTTCTAAACTATGGTCACAGCGCCACCCTGTGGAAACATTCGGTTCTACAACATCGGATCTGTACCGAAATTAACAGGCGTGCTGACCCGGGGTCACGCTGCTCCTCCCCGCCTGAGGGTGGCGCTGTTAGGTGAATGCTGATTGGGGAAGCTGGTCTAAAATGGCGGCACTTCCTGCTCTTTTGTCCTGTGTTACATCAGAGTCTGTGTCCATGTTAGTCTGGAAAACCGTGGACCGTCTGGATAGGTCAGATTGTTTAGGCCACGCCCACTCTGACGTTCATCGCTGTTTTTAAGCGTTGATGGTCTTCTGTTGGACTGTGGCGGCGGTGCGGCGGTGGTCGTTCTTGAGAGTTTCTTTCTATATCGTGTAGAAGTTCCCTGAACTGGTCGTAACACGAGTCTGACGATACTGTCGTGGTAATACCGCCACCCTCTGGACACGAGTGGAATTAACTATTTAGAAACAATCACACGATTTTGTCCTTTGAATAATTCGCCGCAGAAACGCGTCGGGTTTGATTAAAACGTTTTTAAAAAAACGACAGGAAGTGGAAATGACCCTCAGGACTCTCACCCGTGTTGCAGTCCGGACCCGACCAGCCGTCCACACACGTCTTGTTGCCGCTGTGGTCGCACTCGTAGTGTCCGAAGAAGTCGTCTCTGGGCCGACAGAACTTGTTGCAGCCGGCGCCGAAGTAATGCTCGTCACAGGTGAGGCGGACCTGGAAGGTGAACTGAGCAACACGACCTTCATGCTTCAAACGCCGCCACTGACGACCCGGAGCGATCATCCCTGAGTGGACGGCCTTCTCGATCACACCTGAGGAGGACGCAAAGATGGAGGTGAGCGAGGATGACGGTGAAGACGAGGACGAAGAGGAGGAGGACGGCGAAGGTGGTGGTACTTACTCCCAGATGAAGACTGGTTGTTGTAGTCCAGAGCCTCCAGGATCAGCGTGTACGACCTCTGTGCACACACACACACACACACACACACACACACACACACACACACACACACACACACACACAAACATGGCTGCAGCGTCGCACACGTGTTCAGATCTACACACAAACAGGAAGTGAAGACGCAGCAAAGTAAACAACAACAACAACAACGATGTAACGCACAAACGAAACGCACCGCGGCAAATACAGAAAATAAAAAACCATCGAAGTTCACGCCAACGGGACGAATAAAAAGGTCAAGATGAAACGTGATAAAAATGTGAATGACCATCCTGAACTAGCACCACCTCTGAAAATGGTCAAGATAAAGACGACGTTAAAAACATGATTATTGTGATGAACTGATCGATCATGTGATCATGTGTTATTATCTCGTCAGTACAGGTTATCTTGAGACTGTAATTATCTTGCACACACAGCATCATTATCTTGTAGGAACAAAATGAGTTTTTCTCTCCCAGCTGATCTGGACATCATGTCAGTAAAACCTTTGAGCGTCATGATGAACTACGGTGGCCCTGAAGGTCAAATGCACAAATACTTCACTAAAACTAAATCTGAAATCATGAAAAGGCAAAAAAAAAAAAACCTCAAACAAAACTTCGAAAAATCCAGAAAACACAAAAATATTTTATAAAAGGAAAAAATTTAAAACACTTTTTTTTGTGTGACTTTATGTTTTTGTATCTGATCATGTCTATGTTTGTGCATTTGTCCTTCTGGGCCACCGTACAGCTTTTGAACCTACCGGCCACGCAAAGCTGAAGGGCAGCGCTATCCTGGCGTCGTCACTCTTGGCGTTGTGAACAGTAAAAGTATTCCCACCAATCACAGGTGTGGAGGCGGCGCCGAAGCTGCAGGGTCCAGCTGAGGACACCTTCAGCTGGAACTCCTTCAGACACACCCGGAAGTAGGTGTGAAACTCGGCGCCGCTCTGCAGACGCCCTCTAAGGTTCTTCATGGAGGAAATCTGGAGCTCAAAGAGTCCTGAGGCTGAAGAGACCTGCAGAGAGACGGGGCAGGTGAGCTCAGGTAGACCCAGCAGATAAACAACCCTGATCCAGAACCACGGGAAAAAAAACACAAAACAGAAAATGACAGAAAAAAAATAGAAAAAAAGAAAAAAAAGAAAAAAAGAAAAAAAAAGAAAAACAGGAAAAAAGAAGAAAAAAAAACAGAAAAAAAGAAAAAAAAGAAAAACAGAAAAAAAACAGAAAAAAAGAAAAAAGCAGAAAAAAAGAAAAAAAACAGAAAAAAAGAAAAACAGAAAAAAAAAGAAAAAAAGAAAAAAAAGAAAAACAGAAAAAAAAGAAAAAAAGAAAAAAGCAGAAAAAAAGAAAAAAAAGAAAAACAGGAAAAAAGAAGAAAAAAAAACAGAAAAAAGAAAAAAAAAGAAAAACAGGAAAAAAGAAAAAAAACAGAAAAAAAGAAAAAAAAAGAAAAACAGAAAAAAAAAAAACAGAAAAAAAGAAAAAAACAGAAAAACAGAAAAAAAAACCACCAAAACCCACCTGTGTGACAAGTTCTACAAAGTCCACAAACTTTCTCCCAGAGTCCAAATATCCAGAACAAAATAAAGTGATTTGTTGTTATTTTGTGTTTTTGATGATTTTAAACCGTTCACGTGCAGAGCTCTTTGTTTCAGTAAAACTGAGATCTGTGTGAACCATTTTTAATTCAACCTCAGATAAAAACTTTAGTCCAGGACTAATACACCTGAACACTGACAGGTTCTCCGTTTATTCTGCAGCTTCTTTAACAGTCACTTTGATTTTTATGTCAACAGTCATGCATAACTTTTCCTAAACAGCTGAATTCATGAAGGAGGATTTCAGTGGGTTTTAGTTCATTAAAATATAACAAGATTAAATGTCAGGAAGTGTTCACTAAAGGTTTCAGCTCGTTCTTTTCCTTCTCCTGTCAAACTTTGAGGACAGAATGTTTTTATTTACTTGGAATAAAAATGTTCGGAAGTCATGCCGAAAATGAGGGACAGGTTTCCTGAAAGTATTTTTGTCCCTGTTGAAAAATCTGAAAGTTTTTTTTTTCAGCGGAAACGAAAATTCGTGAAAATCCAGCAGGACTTTGGTTTACCTGCATCCGGGCGAAGAGCAGCAGCAGCAGGCTGAGGGCGGAGCTCCGTGCGGGGGTCATGCCGGCGGTGGGCTTCTGTCTGCGGCTCTAAAGGGTCAGTGATCCTCGGTGTGAAGCTCCAGTCCCGGTCCAGAGTCTGCAGTCCGGGGCTCTGAAAACAGACCTGCAGGATCCAGAGCCGAGTCCAGAGAGGAACAACTCGGTCCTCTTTGTCTCCTGAAGATTCACCTCCTCCTTCTCCTCCTGCAGCTGGAGGAGCTCAGACACCGAGAAGGAGGAGGCTGGGTCATAATAAACACAGTGGGCGTGACACACGCTCAAGCCCCGCCCATCTGTCCATGCAGCGGTTTGTTGACAGTGAGTTCACATGGGGGTGCAGAAGTGCGATCACACCGAGGGTCTAAACCCCCCAAACAGAGATGAGAGGACTTTAACGTCCGGACGATAATTATCAAAACAGAAGAAGAAAGAAGAGAAAGACTTTCATTATGATTCACATTCTTCACTAATTTCTGACATTTACTCTGAGGCTACGGAGGCCCTGAAGAGCCAAACACACCGACAAACTGTGGTGGCCTTAAGGAGTAAATACAAAACAGAAAAATCATTCAAATAAACTTTCTCATACAACAAGAACACATTAAAAAAACATGTTTTTAAGGAAATATAAATATCTCATTTGAAAAACTTTCAATCAAAATTGTTTCACAAAAAAAAAATCATTTCAATCATTTCATTTTATCCAAATATATATATGTTTTTAAATAGGGGGGTGGGGGGATTTATGAAACACCAACATAAAATATTTTTGAAACATGAAAACATTTAAAGGATGTAAAAACTTTCATACAGGAATAGTTTTATATCATTTTACATAAAAACAACATTTTGTATCAGGTAAAAACGCAGCATGGAACCAAATACGATAAATTAAAATTATTCCAAGAAAATAAAAATTATTTTATCATTTTACAAGAAAAAAATAATGTCCTAAAATACAAAAACCAAAAATACTTAAAAACAGAACAATTTTAATGAAATACACAAAAATACGTCAATAAAGTATTTTAATCAATCAAAAATTCTTGTAGAGTTTTGAAAAATACTTTTAGTATTTTTACCTGATTTTTGTCAAATGTTTTTATTGAGATTTAGATTTGAGGAAACGTTTCGGATTTAATTATTTATTCATTTATGGTTTTTTTTAAAGGTTGTACGGAGGGCAGAAAGGGAAAATATGACGGAGGTTAAAATGTTCCTCCTGATGAAATAAAGACAGGGGGGGGGGGGGGGGGGTAAAAAATGATGTAAATAATGTGAAGGAATGAGAGAGGGGAGGAGGGAGGGGAGGAGAGGGAGGAGTGAGGGAGGAGGGAGGGGGAGGGAATCCCCTGATTGACAGAACAAAGACCCCCCCTCTTTATTCTCACATTAGAGCAGCTGGGCTCCCCCCCCCCTCGAGGAAGACGACGACGACCCCCATGAATAGATTAGTGGACAAAACACCCCCATAAAACCCCGCCTCCACTCCACCACCACCAAAACCCCGCCCCCCTTCCAAAACCAGGGTTTGGAAAATCAAAACGGATCTTGAATGTCTCCATGAGGTCCTGGAAAGGACAGGGTGGAGACGTTGAGGTCCTTGTGTGTCTGTGTGTGTGTGTGTGTGTGAGAGTGTGTGTGTGTGTGAGTGTGTGTGTGTGGGGGGGGGGGGCAGAAAAAAAAAAACAGTCTTCAGGTCGTCGTTGAAATTAAAGATTTTCTCTCTTCAGAAAGAAAAAAAACTTTCATGTTCCATTAAAATCTGAACGTCTTCAGTTTCAGTTTTTTTATTTTACGTTTTTATTTTTGATTTTTCTGATATTTTAATTCTGTGGATCTTTGACAAACTGACTCCACCGAAGGCTTCATCTCCTCCTCCTTCTCCTCCTCCTCCTCTTCTTCTTCTTCTTCTTCTGCGGTGGCGGCGGCGGCGGTGGCAGGCGTGGCGTTGGAGGAGCTGTTGTGTTTGTCTAAAAGGATTATGGGAGTTTAATTGAGTGTGCTGATGGAGAGTGGAGTGAAAGGAGCAGATGTGAAACTCTTTCTAAAGACCATCAGATCTTTTCTCCTCTCTCCATCAAACTCCCATGATCCTTTTCAGGCCGAGAGCCGACAGATGGTTTTCACGCTCGGAGCTCCGTGGAGGTCGTCACGCCCTCTTCTTCTTCACGGCGTTTCATTGGCGATTCATGAGACTCGGGATCTCGGCGTGAACAATAACGGACCGGAGTCATGAATCTGTAAGAGGTCTGAGGTTCGATTCTGATGAAGAGGAGGAGGAACATCTGCCCACGGCGCTCAGGAACAATGACGCTCTTCACCGCCATCCACAGGAGAGGGACGCCAACTACCCACAATTCTCAGGGTGTCTGTGATATTCTTACAGTTTTACAGTTTGGATCCAAATGACCTTTAACCCCAAACTCTTCTTCTGGATCAAAGAGACCCTCAAGAACCACGACCACGACCACGACCACGACACGCTGAACAACCGTCAGCAGGGCAGCAGAGGAGCGACCTGATCTGAAGGGGGGGGGGGGGTCGCACCAGCTCATGAATTGAAGACCCTGGATTACCCCCCCCCCGTGACAGAGGGGCTGATGGGTAAATGCCACCTGTCAGAGTGCGGAGAACCGGATTAATCAGATCGTTTGGGGGGGGGGGGGGGGCTGTTGGACCGTACAGACCAGGTTCAGGTTCTGGTTTTAAACATTTTTAACATCCTGACCTAAAAAAAAACCTTTTAAATAAAGTTTTTAAAGTTTGTTTTTTTCTTTTTTAAGCGAACAGATCAAATCAAACGTTTTGATTTTAACACTTTTAATGATTCTGAAGCTGAAAAGTCTGAAGGTTCCGCAGAAACAGACGACCTCGACGATCGTCTCAGAGAATTTCACTAAAACACGTTTGAACAGAAGAAGAAGAAGAAAATGGAGTCTGGATATTTTCGCTCCTGTCGACCTGAAAAAGACGAAAAACTCGCCCAATGACGTCTTTGAGGATCTTCGTCAGGAAAAGAATCCTCCGATGAAGACGACGATCAAAGTCTCAGAGAAGATCGTAAACTTTAGAGATGATCGTCTGAAACGTTCTCCCTGATCCTCCTCAGAGGAGAAATGTCGGGGTGTCACTGAACGCAGCAGAAGGAGAACCATCAAAGAGAACTTTATCCCACAGCTCCCCCTGGTGGTAAAGACGAGTCATTACTCTGCCGGTTCTTCTTCACACCGTTTCCTGGTTCTGTTTGGGGAGCTTCCTGCGGTCCTTCCCGGCGTTCCTCTTCCTCTTCTTACTCAGGAAGTTGTCCAGTTTGCCGCTCTTCTTCAGTTCCTGGTATTTCTCGGCGAGCAGCAGCTTCTTCTTCTCCGCTGAAATAAAAACATCAGAGTTTAAAAACGTAGAAGATCCTGATCCAGAGAGAGACGTGGAGACCCAAGACCCGGTTCACAGGACTGACCTGCTCTAGAACTTTTCAAAAACTGGTTCTGATGTTTGACCATCCCTGTAAAAATGATCTTTGACCCTAAAAACATCAGGAAAGAGATTGGTTCTTACAGTTCTTGAAGAAGAAGGGCCGAGCTCCCTGATTGGCTCGTTCTCTCTGCTGTCGTTTGAACTGCAGCTCTCTCTCTCTCTGCTCCTGGCGGCTCTTCCTCGCTCGCTCCTGGTTCTCCTGCAGAAGGTCCACAAAGTCAGAACCCGACTAACGTCTGCGAGCCGACCCGACTCTCACAGAACCACATCAACGTTCAAATGTGAATAAAAGCAGAAGTTTGTTTAGCATCAGAACTTCGGACCCGTTTGGTGGTTCTCTAAGAACTTTTTGGATCTTCAGTCTGCAGGACGTGTCTGTATGAGATCTTCAGACTCACCATCCTTTTCAGGAGGAACTCCAGCTTCTCCTTCCTCTGATTGTTCTTCTTCATCTTCTTCAGCTTCTTCTGGACCATCTACAGATAAAAAGAATAAAGTTCATGTTCTGAAGACTGAAAGTTTGAGGAGCTTCGTTTGTTCTGGGTCGGAGTGGTCAGATGTTTATCACCTCCTTCTCTTGGAGTTTGATTTCATCGATGAATTTATACGTCTTCTCAAAGATCTCAGGTTTGTATTCTCCAGAGAGGTCATCAAACCGAGGATCTCTCAGCGTCTAAAGAGAGAAATGAGAAGAACCTTTTTAGATGAAGCAGAACAGAGAGGTCTGGATGAAGGTTCTCCTCACTCACAGATTTCTTCCCTGGGACCACCTGACGGAGGAACGGAGCTGGTTTCTTTGAGGACATCTCCATGGGCCTGAAAACACAAAGACTCAGACTCGGACCTTCAGGGATCAGACGGTTCTGTCTTCAGTCTGGACTCGGATGTCTCACCTGTTCTTGTTCAGACGTTTCTTCTTGCTGAAGTCCACCTGGGTCCTGCTGCCATAAGCCACCTGACCGTAAACTTTGGTTCCTACCTGGTTCTGCAGCTTCATGATCTCCTCGAAGGACATGGTGGACAGTTCTGAGGGAGGTGGAGAAGAAACACGGTGTCTTATCTCAGCGTACTACAAAGTACAACAAAGGACTACAAAGTACTACAGTGAAGATGTTTCTGTTTTCTGCTGCAGGACTGAAAATCTTACTGACTGATCTTTTTAAAATCTTTTAAAATCTTTTTGATCTTTTTTGATCTTTTTAATCTTTTTAATGTTTTTTAAATCTTTTTGGATTTTTTTTGGATTTTTTTAATCTTTTTAATCTTTTTTAATCTTTTTAATCTTTTTTAATCTTTTTTAAATCTTTTTTGATTTTTTTAAATCTTTTTTGATTTTTTTAAATCTTTTTAATCTTTTTAATCTTTTTTAATCTTTTTGGATTTTTTAAAAATCTTTTTTGATCTTTTTTTGATGTTCAGGTTTTTAAAACGGTGGAATCGCCCTTTATCAGTCGTACTCGCTCACCTTTCTTGATGTCTTCTCTCGTCTGGAACTCACAGCTCCCACTTGCCGTCTCCGGCTCCTCCTCCTCATCATCCTCGTCCTCCTCATCCTCATCATCATCCTCCTCTTCCTCTTCCTCCTCGTCCTCCTCTTCATCCTCCTCCTCCTTGTCCTTCTCTTCCTCTTCCTCCTCCTCCTCTTCCTCCTCAGAGCCACCACTCTCTCCATCCTCTTCTTCATCACTATCACACTCTTCCTCACCAGCATCTGCACCTCTCTCCTCTTCCTCTCCTCCACTCATTTCTTCCTCGCCCTCTTCCTCTCTTTCTCCCACTCCTCCTCCTCCTCTTGCTCCTCCTCCTCTCTCAGTGAGCAGAGCGAAGTTTCTCTCCACATCAGAGTCGTCTTCTTCCTCGCTGCTGTTTGCCGCCATCTTTGTCTTCTTTGCTGCTGGGGTCTCTGCTCGCCCCCTCGCCCTCCTCATTTTCGGGGTCGGAGTAAAGATGGAGAGAAAAAAGCTGCAGAAAAAAAGAGGAGGGAGTGAGAGAGAAAGAGGTCCAATATATATATAGAAATATATATATTCTATCTATATATATATAAACAAACTTTAAGGCTGCACGATATTGGAAAAAACTAACATTGCGATTTTTTTCAACCCTGGGATATTAAAAATACAGGAATTTTCACCAGATGACCTGATGAGAACTTTATGTTGTGCTGCACCGCTGAAGTCTTGAGGACAATAAACCTGCTCTGATCTTACCTCTTTTTGTGAATGTTTGTAATAAAACTAATAATAGAAACATATATATATATACATATACACATATACATATGCATATATACATGTATACACATATATACATGTATACATATATACATATATATATATATACATATATACAGATATATATACATATATAGAGATATATATACATATATATATGATCTGTGATGGAGAACTGAGTCTTTCCTCTGAGGGTTTTTTTTTAGGGGTTTTACCTGTGAACAGCTGCTGACTCATCAGTCTAATCAGCTGAGTTTACCGGCTCAGGTGTTCCTGCTGATCAAACTGTCTGAATGGTTCAGGGTTCGGATCAGGTGCTGGTCCCATAGACTGTAAACACTGTTATTTATTATTATTATTATTATTATTATTATTATTATTATTATTATTATTATAACAACATACTATTCTATCTACAGTCTATAGCTGGTTCTGAACTGTAACTTTATTCTCTGTTTTTTCACGATCAACATTATTTTAACCAAACTCCATGTTAGTTTCATATCAAGTCTTCATGCCTCCTTCACCGTTGTTTACTGAGGACAGACTGTGTTATATCTTATATTTTAGGGTATTTAATTGATCAGTCTCCTCTGTATTTATGCCGAATTAACACCGAGGATGCGATTTAGTGCCTGAGCACGAATTTTATCCCTCAGTCAATAAGTACTCAATGAAAAATGAGGCTTTTAGAAAAAAACACAAAATCTCCCTGAAGTTTGGTTAGAAATTGGTCTACACAAGAAGCGTTGTTGAAAACGGCGTTAGAGTTCGCTGACAGGTCTGAGAACATTCATCTGTAATCAAAGGAGAATTAAAATCACTTACCGAATTTTAAAAAAGGGATTAAAACCGTTTTTAACCGAGTTTTATCACCCACGTGTGTCCGCGTTCACAACAAGGATGTCCGGAGGAGAAAGAACCAAGGAGACTTTCAAAATAAAAGTTTAACGAGTTAAAACCTAAATATACTAGTGAAATAAAACCAGTAAATAAACCAAAAACCTTTATTTAAGACACAGATTTTACACACCGACACTTGCTGATAGGAACTGGTTTTCTTTCAGTGGTTTCTTGAAACCCTTTGTCCAGATGTCCTCCCAGATTTAAGATATGACTCTTCTTTTGAAGGATACTTCCGGTTAGGCCTCTGACCATTACAGCAGCTGTACGGCTCTTCCCTCCGCAGTGCTGCCCCCTTCAGGTCAGTCACAGCATTACTACCTAAAAAAATTAATTCGGTTTTTGTCTTTATTTTATTTATTTATAGAGTTTTTATTTGAATTCTGAAAGAGTTTAACACCGGAGTTTATTTAAATCAGATCAAATCAGATTAAATCAGATCAAATCAGAACACACTGAGCTCTGATTTTAGCTGTTTAACTAAATAATTAACTAAATAAATAAATAAATAAATAATTAACAAATTAATTTACTAAAACGATAATAACTGAAACTTTCATGTTTTTAGGTTTTTTTTAATGTGATCATCTCGGTGAACATTTTTCACGCTGACAGGAAGAGGAAGGAGGAGGAGTTTGTTCCCGTTGCTAGGAGACCACGGCGAGGAGGGCGGGGGAATCACAACCGGAACTAGAAGAAACCCTTCAAAATAAAGCAAAGCGCACTAATGCAGGTTCAATAAAAAAAGGCATTAATGAAAAACTGGACCAGTATTAGAAACGAAAGTGAAAAAAAGTGAAAAAGACACTAATAAATAAAAACACTGTGGGCTGTAGAGTCAGAAAGTCTTTTAAAATCGTAGAATAAAAACTTTGATGTTTCTAAATCTGTAAACAGGAAACCTGAAAACTATTTCTGTTTCTTTATTTGAAGGCGAAACTTTCATCAGCGGACGTATAAAAATAAAAATATCACGATCAATAATAAGTTCTGGAGTAAATGTAGAAAAACTGATGATTAAAACCTCCACAGATAAAAATTATTCAGTTAAACATGAACATGGAAATAAACATTATTATGACCACCATAGACTGTGTCTATACTATATATACAGTATATATATATATATATATATATATATATATATATATATATACTGTATATATATATATATATACATATTTATATATATATATATATATATATATATATATATATATATATATATATATATACGTTACAGACCCATTTTGATGATGATGAAGATGATGACGACAACGATGATGATGATGGTGATGAAGATAAAGATTTAATATTTCCTCTGGTTGATTCTGTCTCTGGTTGTTCAGTAATAAAGAGGTTACTGCAGTCTTTCAAATGAGGCCTTTACTCTGAAAATCCTACCGGAAGTGGAGTAACCGTAGAGCTCTGACAGCTCTGAATGGTTCTGATCCTCACACACACTCTTCGTCAGACACACGGATGGTGTCTGAGGTGGATTACCGCTACGGTTCCGCCGCTCCGCCGCCGCTCTGCCGCCGCCTCTTTGTTTACCGCTCCGCTCCTCTCCCGCTCCTCCTCTGAGGAGGTTCCGCTCTCCTGCTGCCTGTCTGCCCGGCTCTCCTCTCCTCATTCTCGGATCTGCTTTTCTTCGGAGGGACCTCTCTGCGGACTCACACCCCAACAGGCCTTCAGCTTCACCGCAACAGGTCGAGGAGGAGCCGCGGAGTGAGTCCGGGTCCGGGTCCAGATGAAAGTCTGAGGCTTTCAGCTGCAGAGACAGAGAGGAGGAGGAGAGAGGAGGAAGAGGAGAGGAGGAGAGAGAAGGAGAGAGGAGAGGAGTGGAGGAGAAGGAGAGGAGGAAGAGGAGGAGAGGAGCTGCAAACATGATGCCGGTGAGTGAGGAAGACTAACTCTTCTTCTTCTTCTTCTTCTTCTTCTTGTTTTCCTGTGAGACTAGACCCAGACTCATCAGGACACCATCATCAGGTCTTCACAAACGTCTGATTAAAAAGACCAGGAACCAAAGAACCCGGTCTAAACCCGGACCAGAGAACCAGAACCAGAATTATTCATGTGGTCTGATTTTAAAGCTGTTATCTTAGAAACAAGTACGGGAGCCCTGAAGGTCAGAAACACAAACCACCTTCAAAACATTTCAGTGAAAATAAAAAATTCACTGAAAATAAAAAAAGTTTTTTATTGTTAAATATTTTATGTTTGTATTTAAACTTTAACTCGACAAAATTCTGAATCATGAAAAAAATTTAAGTTAAAAAATAAGCGATCAGTTTTTTCAGACACAGTTTACGAGTTTCACTCTTTTTTTTCTCTGTTTTCAGCTCCTGTTTAAATAATGATCAAAAATCAAGTCACAGCTCTTATTTTAAACTAAACATTAGCATGTCAGCTCTTTTCGTAACTTGCCGAATTATCGCCCAGCACCGTCGTCTTCATTCTTGTGGTTCAGATAGAGCCTCACTCTTACCCCTAAATTCCACCGCAAGCAGAACGGCGGCGATTTTCGCCATCCGCCGAACTCCACCAGATACATTTGTGAGGTGAATTTCATGGCGAATTCTGGACAGCAGGTGTTAAAAGAACCCGTGAATTGTCTCCATAACGACGGCCAGATAACCATATTTTGTGTCTGTGCCCGACTTCCTTTCCAGCACGGGTTAATCTGTGCTGAATTTATCCGCCATGCTCCGGCGTCCAGAAAAAATAGAACTCTTGTGATCAGCTGAGGAGTCCGGCGATCCCGCGACTTGAACGGTTAGGATCAGCTACGATCGGCGGCAATCGGAGCTGACAGCCTTGGAATTTGGGGGTTCCTGCGTTTGAGCCCCGGTGGTATTTTGGGTTCTGGTCGTGTGTCAAACCTTCGCCGGGTTCAAAGTTTCACGGGTTCAGACTCAGTCGAGTTTTGGGGTCGACGATCAGGAAATACTTCGTAATATTTAATTATTTTGATTCCAGTAAAATGAAAATAAAACTATCGTACTTTTCCGTAACACCGTTGATGTTTTATCCGAACCCTCGACCGAGGTGGAGATGATCGGTGCCCAGATTATAAAAAACCTCCTCAGATGAACTTTCATCAGATTTACTGTGAAACTGAGACTCTGAGCAACAGAGAGAGAAATCCAACGAATCTGAGGAGAAGGAAGAATCAGAAATCGACTTTTTAACGTCCCTGAGTGACCCTTTAAAGGTCGGGGTTAACGAGGAGAGGAGGGAAGGAGAGGAGAGGTGGAGAGGAGAGAGGAGAGGAAAGGAGAGGAGAGGAGAGGAGGGAAGGAGGGGAGAGGAGAGGAGAGGAGAGGAGGGAAGGAGGAGAGAGGAGAGAGGAGAGGAGAGGAGGGAAGGAGGAAGAGGAGAGGAGAGGAGAGAGGAGGGAAGGAGGCAGAAGGTGGAAAGGAGAGAGGAGGGGAGGAGGAAGAGGAGAGGAGAGAGCAGGAAAGGAGGGGAGAGGAGAGGAGGGAAGGAGGGGAGAGGAGAGGAGAGGAGAGGAGGGAAGGAGGAAGAGGAGAGGAGAGAGCAGGAAAGGAGGCAGGAAGAGGAGAGGAGGGAAGGAGGAGAGAAGAGAGGAGAGGAGGGGAGAGGAGGGAAGGAGGAGAGAGGAGAGGAGAGGAGAGAGGAGGAGAGAGGAGAGGAGGGAAGGAGGGAGAGGAGAGGAGGGAAGGAGGGAGAGGAGGAGAGGAGAGAGGAGAGGAAAGGAGGGGAGAGGAGAGGAGGGAAGGAGGAGAGAGGAGAGGAGAGGAGAGGAGAGGAGGGAAGGAGGAGAGAGGAGAGGAGAGGAGAGAGGAGGAGAGAGGAGAGGAGGGAAGGAGGGAGAGGAGAGGAGGGAAGGAGGGAGAGGAGGAGAGGAGAGAGGAGAGGAAAGGAGGGGAGAGAAGAGGAGGGAAGGAGGGGAGAGGAGAGGAGAGGAGGGAAGGAGGAAGAGGAGAGGAGAGAGGAGGGAAGGAGGAGAGAGGAGAGGAGAGGAGAGAGGAGGAGAGAGGAGAGGAGGGAAGGAGGGGAGAGGAGAGGAGGGAAGGAGGGAGAGGAGGAGAGGAGAGAGGAGAGGAAAGGAGGGGAGAGGAGAGGAGGGAAGGAGGAGAGAGGAGAGGAGAGGAGGGAAGGAGGAAGAGGAGAGGAGAGGAGAGAGGAGGGAAGGAGGCAGAAGGTGGAAAGGAGAGAGGAGGGGAGGAGGAAGAGGAGAGGAGAGAGCAGGAAAGGAGGCAGGAAGAGGAGAGGAGGGAAGGAGGAGAGAAGAGAGGAGAGGAGGGGAAGGAGGAAGAGGAGAGGAGGGAAGGAGAGGAGGGAAGGAGAGATGGTTGGTCAGATGACTGTAAAAATATTGATTTCAATAATCAGATTAATTAAAATCAGATCATTTTATTGATTTAAAAAAATTTGTTTTTTTTTTAAGATTTCTTTAAAAAATTTTGTTAAAATTGATTGATGCAGATTTTGTCGTTTTTCATCCCGACTTCAGTCTCTGATTTAAAAAACTAAAATAAAAAAAAACGTAAGGAGCGTCACAATCAGGATAAAAACAGGAAGATGGCGGCGGCGAGCGGGAGGAGGAAGTCTCTGCGAGGAAACAATAAAAAAACGACCTCCGGAGGTTTTTCTGAATCTCTGTTTCACACCCCAAACATCGCTCTGCAGACCGGCTCAGAGGAGCTCGCCGTGACTGCTGCCTGGTTACTGTTGCCACAGTGACCAGAAACACACACACACTCACACACACACAGTCACACACACACACTCACACACACACACACACTCACACACACACACTGCTCAAGGTCGTACGGGAACATGATTTTTGATTCCTCGGCTGATGAGGAACTAAAGCAGGGAAGTTTTAACCTTCATTTACGATCAGACGCCGCTTTGTTCCCGTTTGTCGTCTGTAAACAGGAAGTTCCTCAGATCACAGCGCCGCCGCCGCCGCCGACAGGCTCTGATCGATCAGAATAACTGAAACAGACGCTGATAATTCACCTATAAATCCTGATTGATCGTCTTTCCTGTTGATCGCTGTTTCATGACCTGTTGTTGTTTTTCTTCTCAGCAGTCGAGACTCGAATCTCGAATCTCGAATCTTGAATCTTGAATCTTGAATCTCGAATCTTGAATCTTGAATCTTGAATCTCGAATCTTGAATCTTGAATCTTGAATCTTGTTCTGTTAAAGTCGTTTGCGTCTCTGTCGGAACATGAAATGGCGTTAATGGAAACCGACATTTAAATGGACTTTTGTAAAAACAGGTTTAAAAACGACGTTAGTGAAGAGAAGAGCTGACGAACTGTTGTTTGGTTTCTGACTCCAGTCGATCTGTGATTCACGCTCCTTTAGTTGAATAAAAAATACCAGAATCAATAAATATGATCGATATCTACTCTGCTGGTGATCCGCTATTGTCTATACAGAGTCTCTCTAGATTCCTGTTGTCTATACAGTCTCTCTAGATTCCTGTTGTCTATACAGAGTCTCTCTAGTTTCTTGTTGTCTATACAGAGTCTCTCTAGTTTCCTGTTGTCTATACAGAGTCTCTCTAGATTCCTGTTGTCTATACAGAGTCTCTCTAGATTCCTGTTGTCTATACAGAGTCTCTCTAGTTTCCTGTTGTCTATACAGAGTCTCTCTGGTCTGAACCTGAACCAGAACCCGATGTTCTGCCGATCTTCTCCTCATGATCGGGTCTTTATTTTAAGAGTTTGTTTTTGTGACTGTGATATGGTTACCATGGCGATAACAATGATGTCATCAGTCTGAGGCAGCAAGCTCTTTTACTGACAGCTCATTGGTTGATTTTCAATGACCTCATAGACTCCAGTCCTCAGTCACACTCATGTACGCCACGCCGTCAGGCAGCCAATCAGAGGACAGCAGTCAGCGCTCCGTGTCAGCAGGAGCGTCCCGAGTGTTTTTGTTGTTGTGAGTCGTGGTTTCCTGGACAGCAGGCTGTGTGTGTTTGTGTGTGTGTGTGTGTGTGTGTGTGGCGGGGGTTAATCCAATAAGGATGCGTCACGTGAGGCTGGCAACCATATGGCCGCGATCCACGCCGCCTACAAAACATTTGGCTGTGACCGCGGCGCACCAGCTGCCCCCCCCACACACACACACACAAACACACAAACACACACACACACACACACACACACTCTCACACACACACACACACAGCAGGATTCAGTGGAAACATCCATCAATCAATACTTTCGATCGGTTCCAGCTGAGTTCATGTGTTGATCGTTTTCTCTAATGTGGAGGTGGTTCTAAGTTCTGGTTCTGGTTCTGACATGAGGAGGCGACCATGTTGAAGTAACCTGAGAGAGTTCGTTCAAAGATCGGCTAAAACTGTGAAATTAGTCCAAAGAAGAGCCGATCAAACAAATGGATCAGGAACACCCAGACCTGGTTTAGGACCCGGTCCAGACCTGAGTCCAGTTTTTGGGTTTCACCCGCTGAGACGGTTTCAAGGTGATCTTCAGTCTGAACTTCAGTCTCTGAGGAGGTCCTCATGGTTCCTCATTTTTAGACACGACAGGATTTGGGCCAGAAAGAAAAAACGAGGTTTAAAAAAATGTAAAAAAAAGATTAAAAATATTTTAAAAAGATTAAAAATAAAACTTAAAAAAAGATTAAAAATAAAACTTTAAAAAAAAAAAAAAATTTAAAACTTAAAAGAAAAAGATTAAAATAAAACTTAGAAAAAACTTTAAAAATTTAAAAAATAAAATAAAATCTTTAAAAATTAACAAAAATACCAGAATATCCCTTTAAAACGTCCCTCTCTCATAGAGCTGATGGTTGGATCTGGTTCTGGTTCAGGACTCGACCCGTCCTTCGTCAGGTTGATGAATGTTTAGACTGCCGAGGATTCTGGGACATGGAGAAGATTTTTGTACTTCTGCGTCTTTTTTATAAGTGAGTGTCGTTAAATCGGTTCCTGCTTTGATTCTATAATTTATTTAAAAATGTAAAAATCATAAAAATCATTGAAATAATTGAAATAATTAAAATCATTAAAATGGTTAAAAACATTAAAATCATAAAATTATTAAAATAATTAAAATCATTAAAATGGTTAAAAACATTAAAATCATAAAATCATTAAAATAATTAAAATCATTAAAATCATAAAATTATTAAAATCATTAAAATCTTTAAAATCATAAAATTATTAAAATCATTAAAATCTTTAAAATCATTAAAATTATTAAATCATTAAAATCTTTAAAATCATTAAATCATTAAAATCATAAAATTATTAAAATCATTAAAATCTTCAAAATCATTTAAATCTTTAAAATCATTAAAATCATAAAATTATTAAAATCATTAAAATCTTTAAAATCATTAAAATCTTTAAAATCATTAAAATCTTTAAAATCATTAAAATCATAAAATTATTAAAATCATTAAAATCTTTAAAATCATAAAATTATTAAAATCCTTAAAATCATTAAAATCATAAAATTATTAAAATCATTAAAATCTTTAAAATCATAAAATAATTAAAATCATTAAAATCTTTAAAATCATTAAAATCACGGCTCGTCGTTGTTTTGAAGGAGACGTCTTTCAGACAGTCAACGCCTCATTAATTTCCTCCTCCTCGCAGCAGTGGGGGGTTGTGGGTATTAAGCCGTGTGATGCTGTGCTAATTCCTGAATGGATTAAGAGTTTAACCACGACTGAGCGGCTGAAGAGACGCTCCTCTGTCCGACAGATTTTTTCTCTTTTGTTTATTTTGAACCTTTTCTGTTCAGGTGATTTTTTATAAATATCTGTGATGATAATTTTCACTAAAACAGTTTTTATTTGATCTTCTATGATCTTATTTTATTTTCTTTTTATTTGATCTTTTCTTCTCTAAACACTCGCTGATTTTGAGGAAAGTAGAGCTTTAAGTTTTGCAGCTCCTCTTTTGACTTTTTAAAAAAACAGACTCATTTATTATTGACGTACGGAGGCCCTGAAGGTCCACTGTTTAAACATTTCACTGAAATATTTCAGAGTTCGTGTTCGCGGTCCGGAGAAAGAGACACACTCTTAAATCTGCTTCAAACATCTTAACGTGGCGTCTCCATGGAGACTCACTCAGGACACGCCCTCTTGTGGTCACCAGAGGAACTGCAGTTGTTCGTTATTTTGTCGTAGACCTTGTGTTGAGCTTCTTTAACAGGAAGTCTCATTTCCCCCGGTGTTGTTGTTGTTGTCCTGAGGGACAGACAGCCTCTCTCTCTCCTTCTCTCTGATTGGCTGCTGTGTTCACGGGTTGACCTCGGCGTGGTGACTGACGGCAGTGACCCACTTCCTGTGAACAGACCTGAGCGCAGCAGCAGTGCTCCAGTTTTCCCTCAGAGCTGAATGTAGGACATCCGGACATGTGGGACTAATTTATCTGTTTCACCCGAGAGACGCTGAGCGCCGTTTTCTCTGATGGCGGTCACTGAAGATCGACCAATGACTGATGATTAACGTGAAACATGAACCTGAATGTCTGATTTTATGATGATGCTGTTATTAAATTGAGAAACTCCGGACTCGTCTCTGACGTCAGGATTACAGCCGTGTGTCGGACATGTTTGTCCTCCTCTGAGGTTCGTCTTTGACTTTAGACCTTCCTGGTCAGCTCGGTGTCGGTCCGTCAAAGTTCTGCTCGGTGTCGGTCCGTCAAAGTTCTGCTCGGTGTCGGCCCGTCAAAGTTCTGCTCGGTGTCGGTCCGTCAAAGTTCTGCTCGGTGTCGGTCCGTCAAAGTTCTGTTGAGAGGAACCTGACACCTGCTCCAGGTCTTCAGTTAACGTATCGGTGACGTAAGCGCACTACGCCGCCGGTCTACATAAAGACCACTAGACCAGCTGCGGTCCGCCTGCGCTGAAAGCTGACCAGGTTTGAATTGGCGAGATTTCAGCGCACTTTATACGCCACCGACTGACACGAAAATGTCACTGCACCTCCCCTTACCGCGCCACCACGCCCAGCTTGGCGGACCTTGGTGCGAAAGGTCCACCAAGCTGGGCGAAAATACCAAAACTGGCTGTGCGCCACCCTCCGCCGCGCTGCTGGCGTGTAGAAAAATAGAGCCCCTTGAGTTAAGTGCTACTTCCTGTCTTGGCGAGGACGGTCTGGAAAATCCGCTCAGATCCCAAAGAACCAGCGCCGTTGTGTGTGCCGTTAGTCGGCGTGTTGGCAGACGTTAGCTTCGCTCTTTTTTCCGGCTGGTTTGTCGTCGTCGTCGTCTCTCCGCTGTGAAATGCTCTGCTGGTTTATAACTTCCTCTTAAACATGCGAGTGTCGTAGAAAAGTTCCCAGGCTGTCCTCGCAGTTTTTTTACTCGCCGTTTTTTGTCGTGGCGGTTCTTTAGAAACTCGTGTTTTTGTCAGGATCTCGCCGCGGTGCGAATAAAGTTTCTTTTTTAGGTTTGAAGCTTAAAAGTTTCAGAGACAGAAGGAGGACATGAGAGCTGAATACAGAAACAGACTTTAGAGACTCTGAAGGACGTCTCACTGACCCCGACTCGCCATCAGACTGTTTGATATTCCTGTCAGGAAAGACCTAGATCTGCTCTCCGCCATGAAGACGCCGTGTGACTCCGTTTTTCTGGGACCCTCCTCTGTCCTGCATCACAAGTACCTGATCTTTTCTCATGTCAGTCTTTTTACTGAAGCTTTAGAACGGCTTCAGAACCGCGTCTGAGTCTGAACGAGGCTGCGGCGAGTCTCTGAGGCGTACGGGTCGAAGACAGCGGCGTGTTTTTCACGTCAGACGAAGTGAAACGAGGTAAAGATGGAGAGAAGAAGAAACCAGCGCCGTTTCAGGATAAATAAAGGCTGGAAAACGCCGTCGCCTGCCTGCTGGAGGCGATCTGGCTCTGGGCCTGACGGCAGATACCCCGCTGAAGTGACAGATGGCCCAGTGCATCATGGGAGTTACAGGATGTCCACAAATATCAGTTAATTCCTAAATAGCACAGAAGGCTCTGAGAAAGGTGAGAGGGTTGAAACGTCGTCGTCGTTGTTTCTCCTCCCACAAAAAAAAACAGAGGAAAAAGAAATAAATCAGAAACAGTTTGGAGACGAGAGTTCAGCGACGATCGAAGGTGATCAAAAAAAATAACTGAAATAAAGAATAAAAAAATAAAATAAAATAAAAAATAACTGAAATAAAAAATTAAAAAATAAAATAAAAAATAACTGAAATAAAGAATAAAAAAAAAATAAAATAAAAAATAACTGAAATAAAAAATAAAAAAATAAAATAAAATAAAAAATAACTGAAATAAAGAATAAAAAAATAAAATAAAATAAAAAATAACTGAAATAAAAAATGAAAAAATAAAATAAAATAAAAAATAACTGAAACAAAAAATAAAAAAATTAAATAAAATAAAAAAATAACTGAAATAAAGAATAAAAAAATAAAATAAAATAAAAAATAACTGAAATAAAGAATAAAAAAATAAAATAAAATAAAAAATAACTGAAATAAAAAATAAAAAAATAAAATAAAAAATAACTGAAATAAAAAATAAAAAAATAAAATAAAAAATAACTGAAAAAGGTCAATTATTCCAGTCTGATTTATACTGAAACGATCTTTTACCGACTTCTTTAAATATCCGAGAAGAAAAAAGTTCGTATGTCTGCGAGAGTTTAGGCCGTTCTTTTAAAAATGAAGCCGATTAAAAAAACGTCTAGATTTGGGTTTGAACCGTTTCAGTGAGTCAAACATGAAACAGTGACGAGTTCAAATAAAGAGAGTCAGACGTGTTTTCAATCATCTATATCAGCATAATCAATAATATTTTCTCACATTTAGTGTCAAACAGTTAATCGTACGATAGAGTGATGGACTTTTTAAAAATATCATCAATATGTGGTTTAAATTCTGGATCAATCCAAAGTCCAAGTTATTGAAATCAATGAACTTTATTGACAGGAGATCAATCGGACAAATTAACGTGAAAATCAACCTGAAGAGATCGGAGCTGACGTGTCTGAAAATGAGACGTTTTTCCAGGTTTGACAGTTTTTTACCGCCTGGTTTACAGGCTGATGTTTCAAATGAAAACAGTTTTTACTGAGACTCAGTTTAACGGACCCGGAACCAGAACCAGAGAGCGAAGGTTCTGTTAGCAGGAAAGACTTTAGTGACTGAAATGGAACTTTTAACACGTAATTATTGTCGATTTACTGAGGCTTGACTTTGTGGCCTGCCTGGACTAACACTGTGCTCTTCAGTCCAGCCTGAGACGGAGGCTGACGTTGAGGGAAATATGTCCGACTCCCGTTAGAGACCACTGACTGTGGTTTAGAAGTTCTGGCCAATCAGAATCCAGAATCTGACACCACAGCAGGAAATAAAGAGCGGGAAAATCTACCGGAGCACTTTTTAAAAATAATCGACTCAAACAGGATCAGGACCAGAACTTTTACTTTTTGGCACCAAAAGTTTGAATTCAGGAACATTTCTGCACCGGACTGGACTGGACCTGACCGGACCAGACCGGACCTGACCTGACCTGACCTGACCTGACCTGACTGGACCTGACCTGACTGGACCTGACCTGACCAGACCGGACCTGACCGGACCTGACCAGACCGGACCTGACCGGGGCGGACCTGACCTGACCTGACCTGACCTGACTGGACCTGACTGGACCGGACCTGACTGGACCGGACCTGACTGGACCTGACCTGACCGGACCTGACCTGAACAGACCGGACCTGACCAGACCGGACCTGACCAGACCGGACCTGACCTGACTGGACCTGACCTGACCTGACCTGACTGGACCTGACCGGGGCGGACCTGACCTGACCTGACCTGACCTGAACAGACCGGACCTGACCAGACCGGACCTGACCTGACCTGACCAGACCTGACTGGACCTGACTGGACCGGACCTGACCTGACTGGACCGGACCTGACTGGACCTGACGGTCTTTCTAAAATGTTTTTATCAGTTGGACTTTCTGAGTTCCCGCTGACCTCCTCTCTATCAGCTGGTTCCTCTTTAAAGATCTGAGGTCATGACCCTGGTCCACCTGAGGTTCATCAGAACCCCGCTCTGTGTCCGTGTTTGCAGATGTTTCTCACCGTCTACCTGAGCAACAATGACCAACACTTCAGCGAGGTTCCCATCACGCCGGAGACGCTGTGCCGGGACGTGGTCGAGCTCTGCAAGGAGCCTGGAGAGGGGGACTGTTACCTGGCCGAGATGTGGAGAGGCTCAGGTGATCTTCCCAAGAACAAATCTGGATTTTAGTTTATCGACATTTAATATGAAATATATTTAAAATGTATTTTAATTAAAAATATATTAAATATGAAAAATGTTTATTTTTCTGGTTTTTAACGACTCAGAGCGTGTGGTCGGGGACGGGGAGCGGATGCTGGAGGCGCTGCAGCGATGGGGGCAGCAGAGAGGGGAGGTTCGTTACCTTCTACACCACCAGAGGGCGCCAGGTCAGAATACAGGTGAGAACTATGATCTGGTTCAACCCGAACTCCGAGCTTTTGTCCAAGAGGAACGTCTGAAATCTTCTCAAAATACTGAAAGTTTGAACAACATTAAAAATAATTATAACTGATAAAAATCTCAACTTTGTCAATAAATCAAATAAAACTGAAGGAAAGTCTCCGATAACGACGATAATGACGATTACAAAGATAACGAAGATTTCAAGATTACGTCGATTATGTAGCATAAAAAAATAACAGTTAGCATGTTTAACGATGTTTCGTGTTTAGGTGGATCCAGAGGTGCAGACCAGCTGATGAAGAGGAACCAGGTGAAGGTCTCTGTGGAGAACGGGGTGAGGACTGTTTATTGGTAACCTTGTAAGTGAGAGGTCAAAGGTCATCATCTTTGGACTAGCCTCAGGTAGCTTAGCACCGAAACTGGACGCAGACTCCGAGGACGTCACGAAGTTTTTAAATGACGACGGGACGAACCTCGCAGTCCTCCGACGTTTGTGAGTGAGTGAGTGTGTGTGTGTGTGTGTGTGTGTGACTGTGTGTGTGTGTGTGTGTGTGTGTGTGACTCTGTGTGTGTGTGTGACTCTGTGTGTGTGTGACTCTGTGTGTGTGTGTGTGTGTGTGAGTGTGTGTGTGTGACTCTGTGTGTGTGTGTGTGTGTGTGGGACTCTATGTGTGTGTGACTGTGTGTGTGTGTGTATGTGTGTGTGACTCTGTGTGTGTGTGTGTGTGTGTGTGTGTGTGTGTGTGTGTGTGTGACTGTGTGTGTGACTCTGTGTGTGTGTGTCGCAGGTTTCGGCCCCGCCCCTCGACCTCACGCTCACTGACCTTCAGGACTTGGCGTCTCGTCAGCAGCAGCAGATCAGTTCGCAGCAGCAGCTCCTCGCCGCTAAGGTACGTGGTCACCGCTAACGCTAACGGAGAGGGGGATGATGTCATTCATGTGACCTTTGACCTGCTCAATAACGGGCCGGTCAAACCCAGAACCAGGTTCAGGACAGACTCCTCCCCCTAAATCCTCCACAGGAGGTCCATCTCACCTCTGACCATCAGACTTTATAACTCCGCCCCCTGAGCGTCTCTCGACTGTAAACATCGCCACTTCCTGTAATTATTATTGAACGTTATAATCTGACTGTAAACCGATCAAAGATCAATAATCTGATAATGATGACTCTGATCAATAAGATACTTTGGAAACTCTTTGTACACGGCTGATTTCTGAAACACTCCTAAATATTTTTATTTCTAATATTTTTAACTTTTTACCAATTTTACAGATTTTTATTGATTTAAATTCGTTTTTATTTTCATTTTAAAAACATTTTTATTTTTAACAGAAACTCGAACGCTGCGATAAATAAAGGGTTCTGGTTCTGAAACGCTAATGCTAACGGTAACGCTAATGCTAACGGTAACGCTAATGCTAATGCTAACGGTAACACTAATGCTAATGCTAATGCTAAGAGAATTTCCCAGTCTGGGATCAATAATCGATCTAAAGCTTCTAAAACTTGCTGTATTTTTGCAGCGTCAGCATCTTTAGATAAAGAGGATAAAAATAACGGTCTTTACGATCACTTTGACACACGATTATCGAACTCGTTAACTGTCGTGTCGTTTGCAGGAGCAGCGGCTGAAGTTCCTGAAGCTCCACGATCAACGTCAGCAGGTTTCCGAACAGGAACGACTTCAGCAGCTCCGAGAAAACGCACAAAACCAGGAGGCCAAGCTGAGGCGAGTCCGGGCCCTCAGGGGCCAGGTGGAGCAGAAACGTCTGAGTAACAGCAAACTGGGTCAGTGTGGGAAACTGGTTTATACTCTTTAAACTGGTTTAAACTGGTTTATACTCTTTAAACTGGTTTAAACTGGTTTTAAACTGTTTAAACCGGTTTAAACTGGTTTTAAACTGTTTAAACTGGTTAATGCAACAGCATTTTCACTTTTTTGGAGTTCCAGTTCGGTCCGGTTTTCCGGTTCTTCTTTCTCAGGGTCACTTGGACCTGATGGACTCGTGTTTCTCAGAGCAGGTCGAATAAAAACGTTCAGACAGAACAGAAATAATCCGACTCGTCATGATGGAAATGACAGGATTAAACTGTTTAAAGTCACTGGGACGGTTTCACCCGTTCATATCTGCTCGGCGGGTTCGTCTCTAACGTGCGCCGACCCTCCTGGTCTTTGACTTCGATCACAAACGTCGAACTTTGAAGCCAGGATCGAAGTTTTTCGTCTTCGATCTTCACAGAACTAAAACTTTTTGAGTTTTAGAAAATCAGTCAAATGATTTTAAAAGATGTTTAAGAATCACCCTGAGCTCAAAATAAACCCGAGCAGTCTCATAAAACATGTTATCATCCATGAGGGGGCGCTGTGTTTAGGTGTGGATACAGCCGTCCTCCTCGTCTCGTTGACTCCTGGTTCTTGTGTTTGTGGGTCAGTGGAGGAGATCGAGCAGATGACCGGTCTGTTCCAGCAGAAACAGAGGGAGCTGCTCGCCGCCGTGTCCAGGGTGGAGGAGCTTAGCGACCAGCTGGAGGCGCTGAGGAGTAACCAATTCCAGCTTCCTTTCCCGCCTTCTCATCTCTATCATCACAACACCTCCTCCTCCACCTCTGAGCTGGAGCGTCTTTACAAGGAGCTGCAGGTACGGAGACGTAAACATATATAAACATATATACATTTAAATTTAGGAGTTCAAAGGAGGACGTGTTTCGTTTCTGACATCAAAGTTATTTTTCCAAAACCATCAAAAATAAAAAGTTTATTAAACTAAAACTAGATTGATCAGGTTGAATTGATGGTTTTGATCCGATCGCCGACGTTTCAGCTGAGGAACAAACTGAACGCGGAGCAGAGCGGCCGCCTGCTGCAGCAGAGAGACAGCCTGAATAAGAAGAACCTGGAGGTGGCGGCGATGGACCGACGGCTCGCCGAGCTTCGACAGCGTCTGTGGAAGAAGAAGGCGGCTCTTCAGCAGAAAGAAAACGTCCCTGTGAGTTTGGACCACAGAGGACATCTTAGAGCACTTCCTGTTTCCATCAGCTGACAAACTTTACCACCAAACTGATTTCTTAGCCCCGCCCACAGCGCCAAAACTCCGACCACACGCTTAATTATTTTAAATTATTTAAAAATATTTAAAAGAACACACTTACACACGCCCACAACAAGATCAGCAAGAGGACATTTTCTCCAGAGGGGGGCGCCAAAATCAACACAGGAGCTTTAAAGTGTTTCCTGTATATTGATTATTCCTGATCGATTATTTTCCCTGCAGGTGGCTTCAGATGGACCTCCGCACAGCGTGAGCTCCAGGGTGGCGGCGGTCGGGCCGTACATTCAGTCTGCAAACACGAGCGCTCAGGGTCCTCCAGTACCGGCCCGACAGGGGGGTCCGGTGAAGCCAGCATACCCAGACGGCACCGTCACCTTACCCACGCCAGACCCGACCATGAAGCCGCCGCCCAGACCAGTAAAACCAGCTTTAGGTACGAGTCAGTCAACGGACGGACAGACGGACACTTTATTCTCTCCAACAGAAATTCAGATATCCACACACACATATATATATATATGTGTGTGTGTGTGTGTATTTATACAAACACACACATATATATATGTATGTATATATATATATATATATGTATACATATACTGTATGTAAATATATATATATACATATATATTTACATATATGGGTACATATAAATGAATATATATGTAGAGTGTCCACCTCAGTATCTCCGTCCAGAATTGAACACTTGGAGGAAGAGCTCAGATCCTGTAGAGAACCTCAGGCTCCCAGGTCTCTGGTCGAGGATCTGAGCTTGAAGGAGACACAATAGCGCCCCCTGGTGGTGGGCGGACCTGCCAGAGTCCATGGAAGAAAACAGGAGTTTGAGCTCCTTAAATATGAGATGTTGTTTTACAATAATCTGAAGTTTCTCTTGAATCTCAGATTTTTGTCAGATTATAGTTTTGAAGCTGAAATCTCAGAGTTTCTCTTTCAGTTTTAGTTTTTCTTTTTATTTCTATTTTATATTTTTTTTTCCAGGTTTTTCTACGACAAAAACCTCTAAAGTCTCGGAGTGGAGCGGCTCTTTTTCTGAGATGAGTGGCGGTCACAGTCACGCCTCGACTCTGCCTCGCATGTCCACCTACAGCACAGGTCACCACGGTAACCATCTTTCTGACCCTCGACCCCTTTATGAAAAATGTTTGTCCTGACTGACCCGACTGTTTTTTTCTCCTTTAAAGGCTCGAACAGCCTCTCTGGATCAGAGATCCCGCCCCCTATCCCCTCACGGACCAATCACAGCGCAGAAAATCTGCTCAGAGACAATCAAGTAAGAAAGTCACTGTGACTCAAAAAACATCAAAATCTCCTGATAAAATAAATCAAATTAATAATAATAGATAATTAATAAATAATTAGTAATAAATTCAATTAAACGTTTTTTCTCCGTCAGCCCGCCGTTAAAGGTCTTTCCAAGACTGCAGCTCCGCCTCCTCCTCTTCCCTCCAAACCGAAACCGTTCTCGTCCTCCGGACCTCCAACCTTCGCCAAACTGACCTACAGCACAGGAACCTTCCCAGGTAAGGCCCGGCCAGTTGGGGGGCCGCTGTCCCGGGCCCCTGCAGGGGTCCTCTTCAGCCACAGCAGCACCCTTCCTCTGCCACTCAAGCAGGAGAGTCCACCCGCCGCTACCGTGCGCCCTTACACACCTGAGCTCTCTGAGGCTCCGCCCCCTGTCCTGCAGAAGCCCAAGACTTTAGCGGCCTCATCCATTTACTCCATGTACACGCAACAGTCCACGCCAGGAAAGGGAATCCAGCCGGGGGGTCAGGGAACGCTTCCCCGCAGCTCAGCCAGAGGTAACGCAAACACACACCTGTCATTCAGAGGAAACACACCTGTCATTTTTTCCACCTCCTTCGTTTTCTCGCCACAGTTTACGGGAAGCCGAAGAAGCCGACTTCCTCCTCAGATGGCGCCGCGGTGAACTCTGCTGTTTCTGATGTAGTTGAGGCGAACAACGGCGGCCCAGCTGGCAGCGATGGTGTAACCACGGAGGCATCAGAAAGATCCACACCTCGACCTCTCAGCCCCACTAAGCTCCTCCCCTTCCTGTTCAACCCTCACAGGAACCCGAGCGACGCTGACCTTGAAGCCCTTCGCCGCCGGCTGCATCACGCCCCCCGACCCCTGAAGAAGCGCGGCTCAATCACAGAACCTGAGGGTCCTGGAGGACCCAACATCCAGAAACTGCTTTATCAGAAAACCACTCTGGCTGCCATGGAAACCATCGCCATGGAAACCATCGCCATGGAGAGTGTCAGTACATCATCGAGCGTCACAACGCGGGGGGGTCACGACAATTGTGCCTTTGACATGACCTCTAAGGTTGACGGCCTCGACCAACCGCTAAATTTCAGCCCAGATGACAACCTAACCCCGCCCCCTTTGCCACCTCGCTCACCCATCGCCGACCCGGCTTCCTGTCGCCCCTCCTCGCCCACCCAGCCGGATGGCGATGAAGAGGAGGCGTGTTTGGCTGCCCCGGTCTCTCAGGACTTCCTCTCAGAGGAGTTCCCTCCATACCCGCCCCCGCCTTACCCCTGTGGAGAGGGAGAGCAGGGCGAAGACGGCGTGAACCTGCAGCCACCAGAGGTGACGGGACAGGTGGCGGCGCCCCTGGTGAGCATCACCAACAAAAACTCAAGACGCTCTCCGTGTCGATGACGTGACCTCTAACTCTCTCCCTCTCTCAGGGGAAGAAGTCGATTCTTCGTAAGGTCAGCTCAGATCGGACCGACCGCGGCGTCCGGGTCAAGTTTAACCCTCTGGCCTTGTTGTTGGACGCGTCGCTGGAGGGCGAATACGACCTCGTCCAGAGGGTCATCTACGACGTGAGTCTGATCCTAACGTTAGCGCTGAGGGGGTCACCGGTCCGTCCAGTTTAATCATAATAATAATAATAATAATAATAATAATAATAATAATAATAATAGAAAAATAATAACTACAAATAAATAAATAAATAATATAGTAATATAATTATAATAATAAAAACAATAATAATGATAATAAAAAATAATAATTACAAATAAATAAATAAATAATATAGTAACAATAATAATAATAATAATAATAATAATAATAATAGAAAAATAATAATTACAAATAAATAAATAATATAATAATATAATTATAATAATAAAAACAATAATTATGATAATAAAAAAATAATAACTACAAATAAATAAATAAATAATATAACAATAATAATAATAATAATAATAATAATAATAATAATAGAAAAATAATAATTACAAATAAATAAATAATATAATAATATAATTATAATAATAAAAACAATAATAATGATAATAAAAAATAATAATTACAAATAAATAAATAAATAATATAGTAATAATAATAATAATAATAATAATAACAATAATAATAATACATTATTATTATTGTTATTATTTTATGTACTTATTTATTTTTAATTATTTTTTAATTATCATTATAATTGTTATTATTATTATTATTATTATTATTATTATTATTACTATATTATTTATTTATTTATTTGTAATTATTATTTTTTAATTATCATTATTATTATTATTATTACTATATTATTTATTTATTTATTTGTAGTTACTATTTTTTATTATCATTATTATTGTTATTGATTTATTGACCCGGTAAATTGCTAATTGATCGATGACTGCTCTGAGTTACGACAGCAGGAAAAGTGAGTTCAGGTGAACGTCTTCCTGACTGAAGTTAAATTTGATTCAATGATCGTGTGAATATTGAATATTGAATATTGAATATTGAATATTGATCTCCATTATTCAGAAACCAGTTTTTTTTTTTAATTGATCGAAAAAAAAAAAACAAACCGGATCAATGAGGAGGAGGGGCTGATGAAGATCAGGTTCAATTAAAGTCCGGGGACCGCGAGGTGTCGCCAGACCATCTGAGAGACGACGTCTGTCCTTGTGTCCGGGGTCGTCCCCCGCGGTCGTCCCCGCAGTCGTCCCCGGGGTCGTCCCCGGGGTCGTCCCCGGGGTCGTCCCCGCGGTCGTCCCCGTGGTCGTCCCCGCGGTCGTCCCCTTGGTCTCCTCCTGTTGTTGATCAATGAGGAGAATCGGGTTTGAAAACTGTTTCAGAATTTCTGAACTTTCACCGTTTCTGAGGCAGAGGGCGAAGGTTTTCTTAGGTCTAAAACACAAACAAACGATAAAACTGACGATCATGTGATCAGCTGATTTATCGTTAAGAAATAAATCGTCGATGCCTGAAATCAGCAGAAATGATTTGTGATCAAATCTCCGTCCTGCAGGTGGAAGACCCCAGCATGCCGAACGACGAGGGAATCACCGCCCTGCACAACGCCGTCTGTGCCGGCCACACGGAGATCGTCAAGTTTCTCGTTCAATTTGGAGTCAACGCTAACGCCGCTGACAGCGACGGATGGTGAGTTAGCTAGCGAGGAAAACTCTGTCTTTGTTAGCATCAGCTGTTAAATCATGTAAGTTTTTATAGACGCCCCTCGAACCGGACGTGTTGTTTCTGCGTCATTATGGAGGAGTGGTTTGGTTGATATGGCTCCTCCCATCACGAAGACGTCACTTATTTAGCGTCATGGTTGTCGTCGTTGTCTCAGTTTTGAGGATCTTCAATAATTTCTCTTCTGGCCTCCAGGACTCCCCTCCACTGCGCCGCCTCCTGCAACAACGTTCAGGTCTGTAAGTTCCTGGTGGAGTCGGGGGCGGCGGTGTTCGCCACCACGTACAGCGACATGCAGACGGCGGCGGATAAATGTGAAGAGATGGAGGATGGCTACGCCCAGTGCTCCCAGTTCCTTTACGGTAAAACAACATGTCAGAGTCAGATTTAGATCTTGATGGTCCACCGAAGGAGACCTGAGGTCTTTGGGTGACGTTGACGAGTCAAGATGGTTCAGAAGACATCTCCAGATGTTCTTTAAACGTCTCTGAAGGATCTTCTAGAGGTCAACAATAACTGGTTTTATTTCAGATATTCAGGATGATATAAATCTTTAAGGAGTCGGACTTTACTTCAGCTGTAGTGACGCTCTTCAGACGCTCAAGTTTCTCAACGGTTCGTATTTCTGTCCTGACAGGCGTTCAAGAGAAAATGGGCGTGATGAACCGTGGCGTGGTGTACGCCTTGTGGGACTACGAGCCCCAGAACGAGGACGAGCTTGGCTTCAGCGAGGGCGACTGTATGACGGTGCTGAGACGGGAGGACGACGTGGAGACGGAGTGGTGGTGGGCGAGATGTGGCGACCAGGAGGGCTACATCCCCCGGAACCTGCTGGGGGTGAGCAGACGAGTTTATCTCCGAACGTTTGAAACAGACGACCGCTTTGAGTGGACAGGATGAAAAACTTTAATAAATGATGGTCGACTATTTTATACCAGGAGAAGAGAATAAAATCAACGATCTGAAAAAGTTACAGTGAAAAAAAAAGAAATTTTCTCTTTAAAGTTTCCAGAACTTTCCAGAACCTTCAGTTCTTTGAACGTTCACAAAATAATCATTTTTAAACCTTTTTTTTACTCGAATCTCTGAAACAACTTTTTAAAAAATAATGAATAAAAAATGTTCTGAACAGCTGATCGGAGCGGAAGAATAAAACTTCCATAAAAAGTTGTTTTTATAAATATATTCGTATAAAATCAGGAGATATATGTGAGGAAGTCTGAATTAACCCTTTATTCAGATGACAGGACGTGTTTTTTCTCGCCATTAGAGGAAGTTCAATGACGAACAGCTGCGGCGTTTTTTAGAGTTAAGATGAAATTTCTCATCCCTGCTGGTGTTTATCTGTCGGACAGTCCAGGGTCTGTTTTAATCCGGTTTTCACTGAACCGAGTTACGTAACAGAGTTGGGTATTTAAAAGTCGTCTTCATGGTGTTTTAATGAGAATCTGTTTTTTTTTCACAGCTTTATCTGAGGATCAAACCCCGACAGAGGAGCCGGGCGTAACGACGAATCCTCTGAAAGACGAGGAGGAAGAACTCTGGACGTCAAATATCGGATCATAATAACGACGTTTAAAAAGGACGATCAGACGTTTCATGACCTGCTGTGGACGTTGGTCGGACCTCAGACACAGCTCATCTTCATCCTCTGGAAACAAACTGATTATTGACTTATTGACTTGATCTGAGGATATTGATAACCTTCAAATGTCCAACATCATTGAAGTTCATAAACTGAAGAGTAGAAGTTTCTGATGAAGGTCCACTTTGGTATTTTCGTCACCATATCTCAGCGTTTCGAGGCAGAGATGAACATTTTCGGATTAATGGATGCAGGAGTTTAGCGTTAGCGTAGCTCTGCTTTACAAAGTGTCACTGAGGGACGAACACGGCGGCGGCGGCGGCGGAAATGGAGAGAAACACGGAAGAGAAAGATCAGAAACTCCTCAGTAACTGCAAACATCTAAATATGTTCAGATTTTAACATGGAGCTCTATGGGGACCGACTCACCTTTGGGGACAGCCTCTAGTGGTCAGAAGAGGAACTGCAGTTTTGGTTTGATCAACTTTAAGTCATTATTCTGTTTTTAATTGACTGTCGTTCAGTTTGGAAAGAAGTTCTGATGTTTGTTTTGGATCATGGCCGGTTCTGACCCAAAACCGTCCTTCCGTCAGAACATGTTATTAACTTTATTGTTTGTTCTTTTACTTTTTAATGGAGTGAAACGATCAGTTCAACCTGAAACTGGTTTACATCTTAATGACCAAGAAGACGATCAATAAAGGTGTCGATCACAGAAATTTCCTCCATGATTGATTTTTCCTTCGAAGAATTACAAACTACGTTTATTATTATTGTGATTTTTAACACGGTTATTGTTTGAAAAAGAGTTAAAGGAACAGTCAGGGAAACAAACACACACAGACAGACACACACAGACACACACTCACAAAAATGAGGCGATTTCGCGTCATTTGCGTGAAAAACTCACTCAGTGCAAATAACTTTCTCAACTTTGCCGCCAGAATTCGCATCATTCAGACCATCAGAGTAGAATCGCGTCGAATGGCGTCGGCCTCACACGTTTTTCACTCGCACAAATAATTTTACTTTCACTCGGAGTGAACGCCTCATAAGATGAACAAAGTGTTAAAGTTCGTTAAAACGGTTTGCTGAAAAAAAAAAAAGCTTTATGATCGTTAATATGTGAGCAGAGGTGAAGTCCTTACTGAGCACGCTCCAACGGCGACTTCGGCTGAGTCTACAGCCTCCAAACGACGATGATGAAAGTTAACCTCCAAGTGTTTAAAGAGGGAAACTGTCAATCATTGATTTTCAGTTTAATCATTCAGTGGTTGTCATAGTAACAGTCTCCAGTTTTCAAGGTTTGCTGAATCATCAAACCCAAACATTTCTGTTCGCGTCAAAATAAAAACCAACATAAACATCAGGACAAAATATTTGTGATTCTTCTGCCAATTTTTCTCTTTTTCCACAAACAAATTTTTTGTAATTTTTTTCAAAAATGAAAAAGTTTGCTGCGTCAGTTGGAAGCTAACTTTGCCGATTTCTCTGGAGGATTTCTGTCTTTAGTCGGAGCGGACCATCAACACTCAGATTATTGAGGTTTTATAATCTGTATGAAAATAAAACATGTTTTTTCACACCAGGACGACCAACATACGGATTTACAAAACCCTGAAACATCAAAAGTGAGTCTGTTTCAACACTTGGTACATATTTAATATTTGAAACCATAGAAGAAGACGTTTCTCTTCAGAGCATGCAGGTTATGCTTTTAGCTGCAGAAGCTGCCTGTTACATCGAACCTACAAACGTGTGAAATAACCGTCACTTAACAGGAACTGCGAGTCGGAAACGTTTCAGCGTCTTTTTCAGATGCAGATATTGAACAAGTTCATGAGTGTAAGGCTGTAAGCGTGAAAACCGTCTTTTATTCCCAAACACCCGAACCGTGAGTATTTCTGAGGAGTCCAAATATTTCATCAAAGTCCACCTGTTTCTAACGAGGAGTCCAAGTTGGTGTTTGGGTCCGTTGATTAAATCCAGGCTGATTAAAACAGAGAAAGTGGTGAGATGGTGAAACGGGAATAAAGTGCAAAAAGCTCAAATTAAATGGAACAAGCTGCTGGTTTCTTTGGATTATAATCCCGTCAAATCTACTGAACCAGAGATTAGAGTAATCTGTTTTATACTGAGTCCAGAACAAAAATATATAAATCATGAAAAAACAAAAACAGAAATCTGGAATTAAAGCAGAATTCCTTAAATATCATTTTCACATTAAAACAATAAATCTTAAAAAAAAGTTTCATGTGAAAAAAAAAATTAAAAACATCAAAAATAATATAATTAATATAATTAATATAATATTAATTAATATTAAAAATATTAAAAAGTTTAATTTTCTTTAAACTTTGACTTGATTTGTGAAAAAACTCGAAAGAAAAAAATAAAGTCGAATAAAAAGGTGACATTAAGATTTTAATTTACAACAAAAAAAAGATCAAAAAAGTAAAAAAAATTAAATAAATGGGGTCGGTTTCTGTTTTTCAATTTTTTTTTTCTCAGTAAATTTAATTTTAAAAGATTGAGTCACACACAGATTAACCTTTTTAATTTAAAAAAAAAAGTTTCTGTCACTTTTTAATTTTAAATTTTTCTGGACTGTTGAATTTTTGTTGGTTTGTTATTTTCTACTTTAAACTTTTCCATAAATTAAAAAAAGTCTCAGAACTTTAAATATTTTCAGATTTTAGTTTAAACTTTTTCTGAAACTTTAAAACTCGACATGAAATAAATTTGAGTTCAGCTAAAATCGTCACATTTCAATATTTTCACTGCAGTAAATAAAAATTTTTCTCTTCAAGCTCGAATATGAAAAAGTTTTTACTGTCAACAAAAAAATGTCAAAATTGACCCTCAGCAGCCGCCGTAACCCTGAACAAACCTGTGTGTTTAAGTTTGAGAATCTGCTGCAAATGTCTGAAATGTTTGACGGACAGACTCCAAACCCAAACGCCTCCTGGAAATGAACTTCCTCTTTAAACGCCATCGTCAGCGTGACCCCGAGTCACTCCAACTGTTCCTCAAATCCCCCCGAAATAATCCCGCTGCTGTCTCACGACAAACTGCCTCAGATTAAGCGTCCAGGCGTCAGTCATCTCCTACACAAGACACAAACATCTGCTGACGTGACATCACAGCGGCGTGAAGAGGACCACGGGACGATAGACCAGGGACGGGCGGATTAA